AATTCCATTTTAAAGGCCTTTAATAGCCGTGGGCAAAGCTGATCGCCGGCCTTAGCACATTAATATCACTGGTCAAGATGACGTCGCAACGACAAGAAACCTGGAATCAATTTCATGGATTATCCACTATCAAGAAGATTCGAAAAGATCAACGTCTTTTTACACAAACTCTGATTATCAGGACATTTAATTTTTATTTTTTGAAAGCCCATTTCATAATAATAAAGCGAAATTCGTTTTTGAAAAGAAAGAAATTGTCTGGTTTCCCCTATTGTCATTGGTTGTAAATGATAAAATTAATGATTGTTTCTGGTAAATGTATAAGAACATGCTTGTGGGATTTTTTTTCTCGGTATTTACGTTTATCTAGCTTATTTTGAAGTTTACGATCTTAATTTTTGCACAAATCGACTCAATAGGTTTGATATAGGTGTGTAGGTAGGTCAGCAGTACAAATGATAAAAGGATGGGACCAAGAACGCTCCCTTGTGGGACTGCTGTAAAGTTAAGCATAGAAGGAATCGGCCTTTTTAGGACCTTGAGCACCGCGAACAATTTTGGTCCATTGCGCAATTAACGTTATTAATTATAGCTCTTCGCTAAGCTTTTTATATGCCATACTAGGTATGCAATCGATGGCACTACTCCAAAATACTCATACCAGAAAGAGAATGGTGGGCAAAAGAATACCTCTGAAACCCAATTCCTACTGGTACACTGACTGCTAAAAAACGAATATAGGCACGGTAGCTGAAATCCTCGAGAATCCTCAAAGAAGGAACTGATTTTAAACTTTGGTAAATACGCTACAGTTTTTCCAGTCTGAAATCGCAGCAATTTAACACTGTGCAAAGCCTCATGCGAGATAAAGGCAAAAAGCGCATGTAATTATATGGAATCCTTGGCAAGTGACACAATGACCTGACCCTGACAACGGTCTCTGGATATTCGGGAGAGGCAACGAGAAAGTGGACACGTTGGTCAAATAAAAGCAAAAAAGGATACATCCGAAACTAGATACTTACTGAGTCCAAAACTTGGTGGGAGGAATGCAGAAAGATTCAGTGAAGGGCTAATAGGGTAATACTTAAAAAAGCTATTACTGGAAGGCATGTCAACGGAACAAGGATACTGGTTGGACTCAGCATTGGCGATTGCCCTTAGTTTCAGGAAGGGGCCCTAAAATGGGACACAAATGGATGGATCAAAGAGCCAATATTAATTCTCTAGGCCCGAACCTTAATATGGATTAGCATCTTCCCACAAGAAAAGGATACATCCAAAAATGGATCCTTAATTAGACCAAAAGCTGGTGGAACCACAGGAATGAGGCACACGAAGAAATTCATAGTTGATTCATATCTGATGGGTCTGTATAAGGATGGTTTATGATCATTAAAAATGAGACTACGGAATAAATCCATAAGAGAGGAAAGCTGGTCGTATCTAAGATGGCGTTATATATTTGGGTTAAAAATACCACAGCCTTTTGAGGAAGGTTTCGAAATATAGTGGATATAATTAGGTCATGTCCAATGGATTTTAGTATTACTACTTTTTTCTAATTTTTGAATATTGATTCTAGGCTCAACACAAAAAGGTTTTTACAAAGAAAAATCGTACACAACACACGTTTCATTGGGGAAAAAAGATAATGGAAAATTAACAGGCAGATGTTAAGGAGCTAAAGACTTATTTTCGATAATAGAGCTTCCAGGCGTTATAATATGTCCAGGGTGGTTGTAATATGTATTATATGCAAATGCACGTGTGGAATAAGAGATGTAATGTTTTCAACAAATTGGTATTTTAACAACGGCATACACAATAGATAATTAATTTTTATTCGTTACTTAAAATGGCCTTTAATTGGCCTAGGAATTAGCGGCAGTTGTTAACAAGAATTTTATTGGTAATTGGACTAGAAATGTTCTTCTTAGCAAGTGTTAATTGAGTGATAGTTAATTGTGAGGATACACAATTTTTTACGTCTTAAAAGTTAAAAAAAGAGGATATTGTAATAGCTCAAAAGTAATAGAGCTGCGTCGTAATACCATTATTCGTTTATTGCAACGATAGGTGGATTTTTATCACCCATCCTCACTTATAACGCGTTTCCGGGACTATAGTTAACTAAAATATGAGAAGACCCGAATATGTAGAATCGAGAAAAGGAAACAGAAAAGGAAAAAGGAAACTATTTTCCAGTAAAAAGGACTATTGAAAGACTATTGACCAGATTAAAAAATATCTTTCAATTAATTAAGGTTTTTAGCTGAGATAAAAAGTCAGTGTCTCGAGCGGGATTCGAACCCACGACCTTCGGCTAGATACGCCGCTACTCTACCACTTGAGCTATCGTGACTTCCATCCACTCGGACTAACTTCCCATCTCAATCCCACCTTTTGAATTTAGCCGAAGGTCTTGGGTTCGAATCCCTCTCGTGGCACTGACTTTTTTATCTCAACTAAAAACCTTAATTAATTGAAAGATATTAATTGGTCAAGCGGACCACGAAAACTAGTGAATTAAAAAATATATTGGTTCTTTTATTAATCATTTATCAATGGCCTCATTAAAATATTTTCCTAATTAGGCAGTGTAAAAAAATGAGCGGAGTTTATGGTCGGCCTGGGTAGATAAATGTTGATCGATATGTCTCACACGATTGAAATCTGTCATGCCTTGGCTCAGGGACGTCAGGTTTCACCTACTGTTCTTATTCTATAAATAATGAAATTAACTATTTTTTCCTAGCAAATACAAGGCTGTGGCAAATTTTCTTACCGGTTTTTGTTTTTATCAATATATTTTGAAGTATACGAGGTTAATTCTTCCGCAAATCGACTCAAAAGGAGGGTCGTATCCATAGATATGTAACCTAACCCTAAACCTAACCGAACGTAACCTAACCAAAAATGCAGCTAACCTAATCCAATTCCAATTCTTATTACCGGAAAAATATATTTCATTTTCAGTTCTTCAAACCGAATTGAAAAATCTCGGATTAAGAAAATTAAGGATAATGCCAATTTGAAAGAAAAGACAACTCAGTTCCTTCGACAAGATTTCTAGGAATATATCATCTTCAAGAATTATAATAAATCAAAAGGTTAACAAATATGAGCATAGATGTTCATGTTGATGATAAAAAGTGTATACTAAAGAGCAGGGGTTGTATTCTCAAAGAACCGCAGACTTCTGTACTTTTCCTAGTTGTTTAGTTCAGTTCAATTGACTCATACCTCTCTTTAAAAAGTATTAGGTCATTGACTGTCATTGTTGCAATTCTTTTCCCTAAGACATCTTGGGTGCCTAGGTTGTGTCTCCATTGAACTGTCACTTCGCATTCAAATATGGGTGGCAGTTTCTTCCTCCTCATTGCATAACCTACTACCGATTTATGTTTGAATATACCCATTTTGTGTAGGTATTTTCTCAGTTGACAGTGACCGGTAGCCTAGATTAGATTAGAAGAGGAGTTTGTCACTTTACAACCTGTGCACCACGACCAGTATTGATCTATTGTGCAACCCCATTATCTAGAGCTACTCATCAAGCTTAAGGCTTTTTACCAGATCCCAAATCTTTTTCAAGGACTCCCGTGTCATGTGTGCATCCTTCATGCCCAGACTTTACCTTCCTATGTAGGAATCTTAAGCCCATATAAGCCTTCGAACCAACAAAGGACATGTTCTGCTCTCCTTCTTCCTGGCAATATTTTCACAGGCTTGTATCTGCCACTCAGAATCTATATGTCTCTACAGTCTGCAGTGCAGTTATCAGTCCAACTATTATTCTAGCCCTAACTTCCTAGATTTAGTAGTTCTACAGTTAGTTTCTGTAATGGTTCTTTGATTGAACTTTTTGGCATGCCTCTGTCCTGGGATAAATTCCCACTGGTCTTATATTAATCCCGTCTGATTGATCTGCGTTTTTGGCGGTTTGGTGTGCCATAAAACAGTTCAGGGCCAATAGGGGTCGTCATGTAAATTTCTTTGGTCAATTTATCAGCCTCTTTGTTTCCCCTCTGCCCTGCATGCCATAGTACCCAGACAAGGGTAATTTTGTTGTTTTCCCCAATATCTTACAGGGCCCTAATTAAATTCCAAAAGACTCTAGACCGATGGGATAATTGCCGTCAGTGCCGCCTTGTGGCCTGAGTACTTGGCTAGTCTTCTGTTAATGACCTAGCCTTTTAATCTCTTCAGCACAGTGTTCAATAGCCACGGTCTCCGCCTGAAAGACAGTTGTATATTGCCCAAGTTTATATGAATTCTGGTCCTTGGTTTATTTACATAAATTTCAGCTCCAGTTTTGTAGCCATGGGTATACCAGATATGGTCAGCATTAACTGGGATCCCTTTCTTCTGGTCTGCTCTACCATGTATTTTAGTTGTAATTTTCTTGTCAAATCTGAATTCAGTGGTCATGGCATCAACAGGCCCGTGAAACCTATTTGCCTGAAGCTCTCTCCCAAGCTGTAATTCCTTCTTGTTATATGAGTAGACTATTGGAGCCTGTCTTTGGATAAAGATATATAGTGGTGGTAGATTCAGAAGGACTTCAGGGCAGCAAATTGCACCAGTGATGCTCAGGCTGATCTCAGTACTGAGGGATCCTGACTGCACTTAGCTGTGATGTGACCCAACCACCGATCCATAGGCTTCCCTTAAGTTTTACCCTGTCTAACTGTAGCAATATGCCAACTTTGGTGAAGGTTCTTATTGTGTGGTTTTTAGTGTCTGGCACCTCTGAAGTTTGTCTACTTCGTTTATTTTTTGTGGAATCATTCTGAGAAGTTTGATCTTGTTACCCAATACCTCCTCTGGCAAGATTGCTTGCTCATTACCCAAAATTCTTTCATACACCCAAGATAATGTCAGGTTATTTTTAAGGTTTTGAAGATTTTGAATGTTCACATCGATTATTTTGGATGTTGTGAAATGTATATAATAATTTCAAAGTTCCTTAAAAAAACTTGGCAAAAGAGATTCTGTGCAGGTGAAAAGTTTTTTATTTGTTGTTTTTCATGGAAATATATTTCTCCCAAGTGATATTAACTCTACATATGACAATTTGACAAACAACTCTATATATGACTGTCATCGATAACATTTTTAAAAATTATATTAAAAATGAAAGCAGCTATAAAAACAATGCCTTTTAGGAAATAATAGAAATGAATAAATTTATAGTACACCTAATCAAGAAAAAACACTGTAATGATTAGTATGCCAGGTGAACTTCATTGCAAATCCACAGCAGTTAGAAAATTATAATAAGAAAATGTCGTCTTCAGTACCTGTAACAATAAAAGTTATTAAAAACTGCATATCTTTGCTTTTTTTAAACTGTTATGAGTCTCAATAACAAGAGATTACATACATCAAGAAATGTATTTAGATTGATTTTGACTATTCCACCAAAAACAACAGGATGCATTGTCATTGACATCATCGTGACAACAATTCTCCTGTCCTCGACCGTTCCATTCAACCAGTCTGTCATGTACAGTGAATGCAATAAATCCCTGCACTAGAAAATATATTTGTAAAAAAAATTGTTAAAATTAAAAACTATTCATTTACCTGAAAGGTTATTTCATTGCTGTACCAGCAGTAACAATACAATATGAAAACAATTATAAGTGTGATTTCTGCTAGATTCATAAAAACTTGCAAATTCTTTTTACCCTAAAAATAATTAGTAAAAATATATTCATTAAAAGGCGATACACTACTCGTACGACAAAGTTCACCAGGTTCTTCTACACCTCAAATGCAACAAAAAAGTTTGTATGAACTAGGGCTCAATTCTCAACCCTTTTGCAGATATTCAACTTTTTTTTCAAACTATGTACGGTTTTTGTCTTAAATCTATTTGTAGCGCTTGAACAATTCAATTTTTGGGAAATCCAAAAAACATTGACAAGAGTGAATCAACCTGTATATTTTTATTTAGTATTGTGTCAAATCTTCAATATTATTCTCAAATTTGTGAAAACCTGCCTTTAATTGTTAAAAGAACAATTTCAATTTTCGTAAAGCCTGAGTAAAATAAAAAATTTGGCTAACCAAGGAAGGGGTAATAATGATTAATTAGCCCACAAAAACACTTGAAACCATGTGAGCAACAATACCAACAATTTAAAAAGTACAATTTTGTTTTACTAGTTATATAGATTATACACAGTAACACTTATTAAATCCTAATAGCACAAAAGGTTTTAGGAATAAAGTTCTTTGGGTTAACATGTACATACCAGTGTAAGTTCAAAAACACCAGAGCATAGAAGAAGCACAGTATGAAAACACTGAAATAATATCGCCGATACTGATGACACTCTCAGAGTTTCACATATTCTGAAAAGAAAATTCTTGATATTTTAAGTATGCTTAATTATGTAAAAGAATGATGTAAGCCTTACAATAAAAGTTCATTTATAATTTATCTAATTCACAACGTGATAAACAATTTCAATTAATTATTATTTTTATCTAGGGTCTTAATTGAGATAAAAAAAGTTATTGTCACAAGCGAGATTCAAATCCATGACCTTCGGCTCAATACACTGCTGCTCTCACCACTTGAGCTGTTGTGGCAGTTGTGATTAGAGCAGTAGCATATTGAGCTGAAGGTCGTGGGTTCGAATCCCGCTCATGAAAAAATTATTATGGTCAATTACCGTTAAATATATAGAAATGATAAATGATGGAGTGAGTGTGGTGTTCAATCCTTTTTAAAAAGATAGTTCCTACTCACAGTAAGACAGCTTGCTAAGTAATAAATAAATGGGGAGATAAATAATCTTCGTTCTTATTTATTTATTTTTATTACTATTGCAAAGGTAGCTTCTTCTGAAAGATCTTGTTGGTTTTGTTTTTTATGTGTATGTTTTGAAGCAGCCCTGCACATTTCATTTGTTATAAAGATTTTGTACTCTGTGCTGAAGAAGGAGCAAGGCTTCAAAATGTATACATTTAAAAAAATTGGTTGTATCTGTTCTACATAAAAAGGAACTTACAAGATAAATAATCTATTTTATTACCACAACTAATAAGAAAAGCCAACTTTTTAATGTAAATAAGCAGTAAGTCTCTTACTTTTGGTTATATTAATATCATTTTTTTTATTTTTTTTATTTGGAGATGAAACCAAAAGATGTCCCTAGCATCTATACACAGTGGATGTTAAACTCATGATAACCTATGGATCGGTGGGTTATTGACGACATTACATCTGAGGGTGGTCAGGATCCTCAGTATTGAGCCTAGTGTGCCTGAATATTTTTGGGGCTCACTAAATCTTTGGAAAAAATCAGCCGTTGTCTGTGCTTCACATCGCCTCTATTGAGCTCTCAACCTGCTATCGCAATTTCAACCACAGTTGTCTGAGTGTTTTACAAATTTCCTATATAGCTTCATGGTTCCTGTGATCTGGTATATTCAGCAATACTAAATCATGCGATTTTCATTAGCTCTTACCACCAGGATGGACACATCAGAATCTTCGCATGACTGTTGAACATATTATAGCAGCACATTCATAAGAGGTCAAATATCCTGGAGTCATCCTAAACAAATGGCTCACATGGAATCAGCACCTAAACGATATACAAATAGGCCAGATTGCCGGGCAAAGGTTCAGGCTCTGTTATGACCGTATGTCTATGTACACACCTTGGTTATCAGACCAATGTCGACATATGGGTCAGTGTTAGATGTCCCTATATCCCATGATACTCTATGGATCAGTGGTTATGTGTGCAAAGATACTACAGCTAAGGGCAATCAAGGTCCTCGAAACTGCTCAAACTGCTGGCAATGAAACCAACCCCCACTGCTGCTTTGGAAATCCTTCTACATCTATTGCCAGTACATACCTTTATCCAGGGAAAGGCCAGAGCCATTCAGTCATTTCATAGGCTGATGCAGGGACAGGCTCCAATGCCCTACTCTTATAACAAGAAGCAATTACAACTTTGGGGATAGCTTCAGGTTTCGAACAGGGTTCTGGGGATGCTGTTGATGCCATGACCTCTCTATTCAGATTTGACAAAAAATTAAAACAAATATACCTGGTAGATCAAACTCGGAGAAAGGGTTCCCATTAATGCCGAAGATAACTGGTATACAGATGACTCTGGTATTGACGAAAATAAACAAAGGGCAAAAATTCGTATAACCCTTGGGCAATATGCCACAGTCTTTCTAGGTGGAGAATGTGGCTATTAAACACTGGGCTGAGGAGATTAAAAGGCCAGGCCAGGCAGCACCAAGGGATGGTAAAGTCCAGAGTTGATTAGGATTACATTAGGGCCCTGTTAGACTTGGGGAAAACAACAAAATTACCCTTGTTTGATTTATGAAGAGCCCATGGTAGATAACATGGCCAAGGAAATTTCGATGACGACACCTATTGTCATCCCTGAACCCTACTGTGGCAAACCAAACTGCCAAAAACATAAATCTGTCAGACGATGGAATAAATATAAGACCTCCATTCAATGGATTTAGCCCAGGACAGAAACATACTCTGGAGGCATACAGACTCGGAGTGGCAGAAACAAGCCTGTGCAGATATTGCCAAGAAAAAGGAGAGCGGAACATGTCTTTGTGCAAAGACAGTAGGCTACGATTGCTACTCCTAGGGGAGGAAAAGCCAGGGCCAGAAGGATACTGACTTCAAGGAGTCCTTGAAAAAGCTTTGGGATCTAGTAAAAGGCCTTAAACTTAATAAGAGACCTAGACGACACAGGTCTCGCAGCACAGGTCATAACAAATCAACTCCTTCTCTAATCTAATCTAGGGGAATAATACGGCTACCGGTCACTGGCAACTGAGAAAACACTTACACAAAATGGGCATATTCAATCATAATTCATTAATAGGATATGCAATAAGGGGGAAGAAACTGCCACCTGTGTTTGAAGGGGTTCATGGAGACATTACCTAGGTAACCAAGATGACCCAGGAAACATCTATGACCTAATACGAGAAGGATAGGATATTAAATTTTAAAGACTTGACTTATTCTTAAATTATTATTTATATTATATAATTATTATATAAAAGAGTGTCATACCGCAAAATCTTATTGTGGTGCTCTGCACAAGTTTTGATCGTGATGTTCCCCGGCTTTCCAGTTGTTATGTTCATATTGTGAAGATTGTGTCTCAGAATCGTAAATTGGATCAAAATATTTTCAGCCATGCAGAAATAAAAGTTATCAAACATATAAAGTGCATGACCATCTGTTGCTACGTTTATGGCATGAATGACGTAAGTCACAAATACTTGAGTCCACGTTTCAATCATGTTAGGATATGTCACTACTATTGAAGTTTTGATCCCGCCTAACGCAAGCATAATGGGCCTCATAAGCCAGTGTAATGTTATCATCGAGCCGACAATTAAGAGAAAATAGAACAGCAACCAGCATCTGGCATAATGTTTCCGCAACTTCACCTCGAGCACTGGATCAACACCTTTGTTAATTGTTTCTAACAGCAAATCTGAAAATAACATCAAATAATTGCTGTTTTGTATTTTATTTTTATGTTTGTTTTACTATAAAGTACAATAAACAAATTATCAAATTTTATGTAAGTAAGATTAGACTTATTCTCACAATTTAAATATTTAAAGCCAATGTGTTTAGCTTATGTTAACTTTGAGTCTAAGTGGATTCCTAGTGATATAATTGTAAGAGTCTGTGGTGGGTGTTCTTTCCTCCACTGTGACCTAAGATCTATTGTAGAACACCTATACATTATAACCGTATCTTGGAATGTGCTCTTTTTCTTATAAACCTAAGCACTGTCCTGGTGCCTCTTTGCACACCTCTTTTGGTGTGAGAATTGCCTTATCGAAGTGGATGTACCATAATCATACTAATGCTTCACATTCACAGAGGGTATATGCCAATGTCTCTGGTTCCTCCTGATAGAGAGCATTTTTCTATCACTGTTTCGTCCATCATCTTTAGGTGGTAGCTAAGAGGGCAGTGGCCAGTATAGAGGCCTATAATCCTGCCTGCTGAGAGAAAGGATGCCTCCGTCACCTTCCTTTTTGTGATATTTATAAATCCCTTAACTTACCTCATACCTGGTGCTTTTGTCCAGTGCTCAATCAAGTCTTTCCCAAGCCATTTTTCCAGTTCCAACTTAAACACTCAGTCCAGTACACTTAGTCATGGTTCTGGCCCCATAGGTGAGAGGGCTGTTTTTCCCCAACCTGTTCATTTCCTTCTATACCTTCATATCACTCTAAGGTAATCTTATTGTGTTTTCTTAGAGCAGCAAGTTTGGAGTAGAAAGCATGCGCATTTAGCTGCCTGTCTGTCTGAGAGTATGTACATCTGTCCACCTTTCATATTGTTGTTTATTAACTCTTCTGCACAGAATTGTATTACATGGCTCTCAGCTTGGAAAATTTTGGGCCTTATACTTTGCTAGGATATAATTCACCCCTTTTACCCCTACCTACTCCCTGTTTTCTGTTTGATTCATCTCTGTATCATTTTAGGTGCCCTTCCTGAAACTTGGGGCTACCAGCAATGCTCTGTCAGGAGTCCAACCAGTATCCTTGTTCTGTTGAGGTTACCGTCCAGTAATAACTTTGTAAGTCTTGCAGTTGGCTCTTTTTTGAATCGCTCTTCATATACCTCTGCCTAAGGTGCATAGGTTCATCAAATTTTGGACCTATTAAGTAATAATTTTTTATGTATCCTTTTTTGTGGCAAGATGCTAAGTCACAATAGGGTTGGTCAGGTTCTAGAGAATTCATATTGGCTCTTTTTTTGGTGTCCACTTTCTTATTGCCTCTATGTCTCGAATGGCCAGGGGCACATGCTAGGGTCGGGTCTTTGAAGTCACTTGCCAGGGATTCTATACAATTCCATATGCTTTTTGCCTTTATGTCGCATGAAGCTAAGGCCTTAAGTGTCGCCTGACTCCGAGAAAAAGGCTATCTTCCTAGAATCCTATCTTGGCACAGAATTAAATTGTTATAATTTCAGACTGGAAAACTTTAGTGTATTTACCTAAGTTTGTAGTCAGTTTGGTCTTCGGATTCACCCCAAGGACTCCCCTGCCTCTATCCATTTTTGAGCCATTAGTATATCAGTAGGTATTGGCCTTCAGAGACCTACTACTCTTTCTTTTCCGGTATAAGTACCTTGTGCTTATTGTTGAAGTTATATTTTGGAGTAGTACCATAGATTGGCATGCCTAGTATGGCATCTGCTGTACCTCTTCCCTCAATTTCCGTTGTTTGTTGACAGCCCTGGGATTCCTCAACTGACATTTTCTCGTAGGCCAGCATAATGACATCTTCGAGGATGTTGAGCCTTTCGGGTTCTATCTCTTTCTTAGAGTATCCTTTTTCCACCGCAGCTATTTTTACCTGTGTCAATGCCACCTTGTAGGATATCTCCTTCCTGGTGGGTTTTGATTTCTTTGGTGCCTGTTTCTGTGGTTTGCTGTCCTAGACCATGGCCTCTTTTTTTTTTCATTATTCAAAGCAGGTTTGGTCATTTGGGCCGACTTGTGTCCCTGCTTTTTGCCCTTTGGTGGCTTCAAAGTTGCTTTGATGAAATTGTTGCTGATTGACATCCTCCTGGCTTTGACATATCCCACTTCCTACATCAGTAGGGTTGCTAGTCTGTTCCCTAAGGCTCCCGAGAGGCAGACCTTTGTTATCACATCTACCGATTTGTTCAATCTCCATCAGCCTTTTTACCTTGAAGGGGATGTATTTAGTATGTTTGGCCAGACTGCTTGTTTTGGCAGCCTTCGGGTCTGTCCCAGATGTTGTTTGGTTGCTGCTTGTATTGGCTCAACCGTAACGGGGAGCTATTTGGTGACCACCTGTGGTTAACCATAATTAACCCGCTAGATGTCACCATTGCTTGAACAATGGTCTCGCCTTCCATGGTGCAGCCAATGAACATGCAGCAGCTCTAAATAATCAGGGGCTCAACCTTATTTCAGACTCGTCCAAGTCTAGTGGAGTAAGCCGTCAGCATTAACTACAGCAACAAGGGTACTCGCTATATCATAACTCGCAATCTCAATAGCTCATATCCGACAACAGTCCCAGACTTCGACCATCGGTTCTACCCATAGCACTGGTCTTTCTTAGGGCCACCAAAAACCCCGGTCGCTAATGTAGGTAATAAGGTGCCCCATATGTTCATATGTTCACATCAATTTTCGAGGTGTTTTGTTTAATTTCTGCTTTTTATTTGTGTGTCAGTTCCAGGTTAAGCCTTAGTCAAAATAGACCCCAGGGTAGTGTACGCAATCAGTTTAAGAGAATGTTGTTTTTGCTTCTAAGGGTAAATAGTTGGTAACATGCGTGCATTTGTTTTCTCTTTACCCTCCGAATTCGGTTATTCATTGGAAGGCCTCCGAGGCAATTGCAGTATCATAAAGGAAAGCAGCAGGTCTACGGCAAAGGAACGTAGTTGGGATGTCTGAGATGTAGAGGAGGTACAGGATTGGTTTGAGCACATTGCACTGTGGCCCTCTCACTCCCATAGTCCGACTGCTGAAGAACTCGGAAGAATCGTCCTGTGAGTTAGGAGCCAAGGATTAAACTACACAGCAGGGTGTCCGCAGGTTGCCTGAGAGCTTCGTTTCAGACTATTTTTTGATACCCCATTCATCCATCATCACGGGTCGCTTTATAACTTGGTTTAGGGTCGCCATGGGCCCTTTTAGCCTACTTCGATGCGCCGATCAAACCCAATCCTAGGAGGGAGGGACCACCTGCAACATCAAAGCGTTTCCGAGGGGTGTGTAAGGTGGGATTGGTCTTGTACTGTATCCTTTGGTGTTTTGGATTTTGTGTAATAATTGTTTTTAAATCTCCACTTTTAGTAAGATTGACAAAGAAATTGTTACATAAAAGTCAAAAATGTAGCTGAATGGATACGAATTAGTTCAATTGGCTACTGATCGATGCTGTTAAATGTAGTTAAATAAAGGCAACTTATCTATACATTTATCACTATTATTTTCTATGTCACAAAAAAAAAAAAAAAAAAACAGGTCTAACCATCCAAATCGTCGATTGCCTTTCGCAATTCTCTTCTGTACTTGATGAGGTAGGCGAGCTTCGTAAATGCCAGCACTGCCGGCAGCGAGGCGAATATCGTAAATAAACTATTCGTCAAGCCGTTGTTGCTAATTTCGACAAAATTGTTCGTCATGAGGGAAAATAGGAACCATACGTTGAAAATCAAGAGAAATAATCTGAATTTGATTGCAATCCTTTGTAATGTCTTGTTCTGTATATCTTCAGCCCACCATGCGAATATGTTGAACCAAAATATGTGAGGCCAGGTCCAGACTTTTGACAAATCCGCTCTCCTCCATGGACGCATCATGTTTATTCACCCTGCAATATTAGCTGATGTGAATATCACACAAATATGACGAACGAAATGTACGCTTAAAAAAACTGTATGGGATAAAAAAAGTTCTACTCTAAAATAAAAATAAAAAGTTTGCTAAAACTTATTGACTTTCTGTTGTACTTGTGTTCAGTGAATATGGTTGCAAGGAGCGACTGATTTCAAAACACTAATGGCCTCGCCACAGCAAAGAAAGAAAATTGTCCAATTAGGTAATTTGATTTCTACCTGACCAAAAACTTCGAATAACGAATTGTTTTACTTAACAAGTTTTGTTTGTTTTAGAAACAAATCGGTTACAGTACAATTGACGTCAATAGTTGAAGAAACTACTCCCCAATTTTATATTGTACTATTTACTTATTCGGGTTTGCTGAGTGGCTATAAAAATCTAATCAGTTTTATTAGGGAACTTCTTGGGATTGTCAATATTGAATAAAATATCAACATTTTCTTTAACTCAGCAGTGTATGATTGATTAAATTGAATATAAGTGGCAAAAGTATAAATAAATAAATTTTTTATGAGCTATGGGCAACTTTTTCGTCCTTATATTAAATTGTAACTTTTTTTTATCCTCCTTTTTTGCAGAAAACTGTTCACCTTTCTAACTAAGGAGGAAATAGCGAAGCCATGGGCGCTTAATCGCCTTGGAGGGTCAACTAGGGTTGAGGATGAAAAAAGTTGGAGGAGATTAGGATGAGGATACAGAGTTTTATGGAGGCGTCTGTAGTGGCTTCAGTGTTCGAGCACAATGTTATTTGAAGCCCTCGTGGTGATGGGGGGGGGAATGGTCCGAAGAATTTTGGACTGGTTTGGATTCTTAGGTATTTTTGGTGCCCGGTGTTTGGACCTAACTACTGAATTACGTTGACTGTATCCTTGCAGTTACAGGGTTTGCGGTTGGTTGAGATCTCGTCGTCAGACAGGTTGAGCCTCTGCTTATATCCAGAGGTGCTGCACGCTGCAAGCACATTGACTGCTGCCGGGAGGCGGAAACATTAAAGCATTCCTAGTGGAAACTTTGTTAACCACATGGGATCCGAGTCCACATCGGTTGTAATCATCGAGTCAATCCAGATTTTTGGTATTGGCTTTTTCAAAAAGCTTCCGTCAGTTCTTCCAATTCTCTCCAATCTTTAGGCAAGTTCACGGCATCTTCCTTTATGCCGTCCAGCCAGCGTAGCTTAGGTTGCCATCTTGGATGTACTTGCAAGTCCGTCATAGTTGGTGTTCGAGTCTGCTCTTTGGTTAAGTTGTCTCCTTATTTAGAGGGGATCTGCAAGTTCTTGGCTGCTTGGAAGTCCGAAGCACTGTAATTGAAAACAGGTAAATACAGGTAATCACCACACTGGTATTTGGTTTCATTGAGTTTGATCCTACATTTACTACAAACATACTACTATATTCTATGTCCTTGAGATTTCTGAAGGCAGCTGTTCTGGGTTTGATGAAAGGGTGACGGATTCGTCTGCGTGTGGAATACTGCATTGGGATTGATATGAATGTCTGAAGTGTATCCTGAATAGACGTGCTGAAAGGACGTAAACAATAATTATTGCAAAAATTAAAAAGGAAATAAAATAAAAAGGGGCTTACCCTCAGCGTGGCTTCGTCGTAACTCGCCCTGCTCGTAATCACGCCGTGGCAGAGATCTGCTGTTGGGACAAAATCCACCCTATTCTTTGGTCAAAGGAGAAAATGAAAATTTATTTGCTCATAATACAATGCCTATTATTCCAAACGACATATATTTGTTGGTAGCAATTCGTCGAAGGCAAAACGAACAACGAAAGGTGGCGGATAAACGGAGTGGTACAAGGGGGCAAACCTATTAAGGAGTCAAAACAAATCGCCTATACTAAATATAGAATGAAGGATCCTGCCTTGAGGAAAATTCGCATCATCAAAGTGGATGAGGGCGAAGGTTGTTCCGATTCGTATTTGAAACTGCCGTGGGACTGGTAGGATTTTAGTGTGAAAGTGAATGGAAGGATTTATAATTTGTGTGAATTCTAAAGATTTTCTGTTCTTTTTGAATTCTGAAATAGGAGAGATATTCCTGGAGGTTTATGAAGACCACTAGATCACGTTTTATGAAGGAAAGGTGGTATGGTCTGCGTGTCGAGAACTTTATGGGGAATAGGAATTTCTGAAATGTATGCTGAACATAGAATGGAACCAAGGATCTTGCCTTGAGGAACGAGTGGCATAGTGGATGAGGGAGAAGGATGTTCCAATTCGCATTTGAAAGTATTTATTTGATAAATTCTTAGATACCCTTGAGCTTTCAGAGCATGCCATACTCCATCGAAGGCGTCTAGGGAAGCATCCGAATATTCCTTCCGCTCACGGGATGAAGTGGCACTCTCGATTAGTATAATGTCGCCTGGACACGAAAATTTCGAGGACAATTGTGATCTGGTTGGTTATGAAAGAACTTGGTCTATGGATTTTGTACTGGGGTGGATTTTTTGATGGTTGGAACGTTTGGTTCAACATCCAGATCGATTGTAGTAATAAGTACATAAGGCGTTTGTTTTGTAGTGAGAGTTTCAAGTGTCAAGCAGTCTTTTATGTAGTTTTTATATACTCTGTTGTTTTTTTTTTAAGTTCGAGTGCCGTGGTTCGAAGAAAGTTTTTTAAGATGATTCTGAAAGGGTCGTCGGTGGTCGCAACGGTTAAAGAGTTGTAAGGTATAGGTTCTGGGTTCGAATCCAGCGGCCCTGAATTGATCCCAACACATTACAAATGGGCATTTTTTCAAAACACCCGTTGTTGAGCCTCTGCTGTTCGTCGTCTAATTGAGGAGTACTGTATCGAGATTGACAGTCTGAATTAAATAGAGAATGGGACAGAGGATCCTGCCTTGACGAACACCCGAATTCCTTCCGCTCATTGATGTCTTGTAGCACTGTTGAATATATTGAACCCTGACGGAATGAAGGGTGAGGTCATTTTCTCGTCTGGATGATCTAGATGCGGTTAGAGCAGAACAGATTAATTTGTCTTGTCAGACTTCAAATTTTATCGTCTCTGATTAACTTACGTACGTTTTTTAGTGAGTGAACTAGTCTTTTGTGTATCGTTTTGTATCAATAATATAACGATTGATGATATATAAACTTTAAAATCGTTCAAATCAATCTTGGAACTGAGTGTGAAAAATGGAAAATTGTGCTATAAATATTAATTTTTATTTATAAAAACTAATAAACTTTACAATATTTGTTTAAACTTGTTGTTTGATCTTCATGCTTTGTTGTTTATTTACAATAGCCATAATGGATCATTACATAGTCTGAAACAAAAACAATGTCAAATGAATTATGTTTATCATAAGAAATGTCCGTTAAAACTTACTTTGCTTAGCACATCTGTTTTGTTTCTCTAACTGGCATACGTTTCTGAATGTCATAAATGAATCTCTATATTTTGCACAAAATGTAGTGTCAGGAAATACGGTACAATTTTCGTCACAATCGGCTATATTTTCGCTGCAATCGCCATGATGTGTGATATAGCAGCCTGTTGTAAAAAAAAAAAAATATTATATATATATTATTTCGTATATATAGCTATTGGTTTTCTTTTACTTCTTTTCATTAAATGAGTTATAAGGGGTGAATTGGGAAAACTTACTCGTTCCAGAATTTTCGTTTTCCCACCTTAGCATGCAGGAATTTGAAAATGTCCGCATTTCTTCGCCGCACTTGGCGCAGACGGGAAGTTCGTCGTTGGGGCAGTCAACACCCGGCTTGATGGCTCTTCCAAGTCCCGTAGACAGACAAGACATCAAGCTGAAAACTGTCAAAACCCAAATTGAAACTTTAAATACCTAGTTTAGGGGCAACGCTACCCACGAAAAACGACACCGCCGGCTTTCATATCTTCGAAGTCAAGCGCGATATTGACTTATTTAATGTTTTCTTGGTTATTTATATAGCGAAGAAGGACAAGGCCGGTGTGTTTAGTATGTAAATTCCATCAAGCCTGACATCACGGCTCCATGCCACACCGGTAGAGTCATCTTGTAGTTTTTTCGCCTGTTCCAAGTTCATTTGAATATCAAAACAACAATGGGACGCCATGATCGCAATTATTTTGGTTTAATTGTTCGATATCGTCATACGAAAAATCCTTCAATTTTACAACGATTATTTATAGCTTATTCCAGTTGTCTATTGGACAAAGATTTATGAGAACCTTAGCGTTAGATTAGCGGTAATTTTTAATATCTTTATTGCTCCTCGAGATCAACTTATACGTTTCCTTTAACAATGACTTAAAACTGTTTAAAACACTAAATAAATAACAAAAAATCTTTAGTGTCAAACCATTGTTTCTATTCCAGTCGTCTATTATACTAAGATGTATGAGAGTTATTTAAGGGTTGTACCAAGTTAGAGAAAACAATAATCGTAATATAGTTTTCCGTCAAATTAACCCTTTTTAATGTCATATTAACTCTTTTTAATTTCAAATTAACCCTATTTTTAAAGCGTGAAAAAAACTTCAGAGAGCTTTTTCTAAAAAATTATCATATAAAGTAAAATTCCTATACTAATATATCCTATTTGCTATTTTTTATTCAATATAAATCAGTATCCTTCCGGCGTGTAAACATCTACTCAATAGGAATTTTTTTTTCGTAGCGTGGCAGAACGGCATAATCAGAGCAACAGTCACCTACAGACCAACGAATTAGAAGAAGATGAAAATGAAGAATATGCGTGCAGAAGTGGAACCAAAGAAAAGGAGATTTGCTGTTCATCGGATGAACGTGAAACGAAAAAAGGAGAGAGAGTTTCACACACTTTGTAAGGAGCTTGAAGACGATGAAGAAAGATTTTTCAAATATTCAAATATTTCAAATATATATTTATTCTAATAATAATATAATTTAGTAAATTTTTAATAGTAAAATAAAATTTTTAAAAAATTTGAATATGTACTGATCGGCGATTCGGATTAGCGCAAGTTCGGTTTACCGAGACTGGACGTTATAATTAAAATTATAATGCAATTTATTATAGGTAGGCACCTAAGCTATCGGAATTGCACACATCTTGTCTGCCGTCTATTCATATTAACCGTATTGAACCACGCAGACAATAAAATACAACCGCAGACACGTGCCGGCACAAGCAAAACGTTCTCGGCGACAATGCTGTCCGGTGCTGGTACGTGCTTACGTTCGCTAAATATGAACGTTCCTATATGTTTTGTATGTAATGATTTTTTTGTGTCTGCTACGCTAAGTGCTGGACACGCTCTGTGCTGATAGATATGAATCGACCTCGTTGCGGCCACCGACGCCCCCATTTTAAGGGCTATTATCCCCCGTTTTCTGCCTAAAGCACATCGGTGAGTCCTATTTCATCGAGGAACTTGATGGTTGAAGCTCTTCTATGGTCACATTGTACATCCCAAAACACTTCCTCCTGCGGGCAAGTGTAGCACCGCTGTTTGTTAGTAGGTGTGTTGGTGTCTCCTCTACCTCTTTGCAGAATCTACATGTGCCGTCTTGGGTTATGCCAATCTTCTTTAAGTGTCCATTTAGCTGTTAAGAATCCTGTTAGGATTAGCAGTTTGTTCCTGATTCCTTTGACACATTCGGTAATTTCTTTTCTTCCGAAATTTGTAAGGAGATTCTTGGATTGCCTGTGCCCAATGAGTGAATTCCATTGTTCCTTCATTTTCTTTTTGTACTACTATCTGAGATACCCATTGATCGTGTGGGTTCCTATGCCATAGAAGGTCTCGGGTCCTATCAGCGGTGTAGCAGCTCCTTTCCATGTAAGGGTTCCTTCCTTCCCATGTGTCCTGGGACCCAACAGAGGCTGACTTTGTTCTGCGTACCTAATATGTTCAATTTGGTTTTGCAGTTCAACACCATCTTTGAACTAATGATATTTGAGCTTAGTGCTTTGATGGCTGCTTAGCTATCTGACATGATAGCTATGTTCTTGTTTTTGTACCCTTTAGTCAAGTTGAGTTGGGTACATCTCTCGATTGCGTGAATCTCAGCTTAGAAGATACTGGTGTATTTTCCCATGGGTTCTGAGTTGTTCTTGCCCCTGTACCTTCTTGTGTTCTAGGTCTATCTGTGTACCAAAATATGGTGCCTTTCTTAAAGGAGGTGTTTTCCTCTGTTCCCATTCTTTTTTAGTACCTAAATTTATTGGATGGAGTTGGTGTCCGAGGGGATCGAAGTCACGTAATATATCCAATTATCACAAGGAATATCGATTACTCTGGGGTAGAGTAATAGTAAATTATTAGCGTAATGGAAAGGTTTATCTCCAATTACCCCAAGGAATATCGAGTACTCTGGAGTAGTGTGTTGGTAATTTATTAGCGTAAATGGAGGAGCTTATCCCCATTTACCCCAAGGAATAACGATTACTCCGAGAGAGTGTGAAGGAAATTTATTAGCGTGATTGGAAAGGTTTATCTCCAATTACTCCAAGGAATATCGAGTACTCTGGAGTAGTGTGTTGGTAATTTATTAGCGTAAATGGAGGAGCTTATCCCCATTTACCCCAAGGAATAACGATTACTCCGAGAGAGTGTGAAGGAAATTTATTAGCGTGATTGGAAAGGCTTATTTCCAATTACCCCAAGGAATAACGGGTACTCTGGGTAGTGTGAACGAAGTATTGTCTTCGATTGTAATTAATTAGCATAAATGGAGGAGCTTATGCCCAATCACCCCGAGAAATAGCGTGTACTCTGGGGTAGTGAGAATGAAGTATGGTATGCGACTGTATAGTTTTATCCTCAATTACCCAACGGAATATCGTAAACTCTGAGATAGTATGAAGGTAATTTATTAGCGGGAAACCCCAATTGTTCCAAAGAATATCATGTACTCTGGATTATTGTGATGGTAATTTATTAGCATGAATGGAGCGGCTTATACCTAAATATCCCAAGGAATGTTGAGTACTCTGGGATTGTCGTGTGTGATTGTAATTTATTAACGCGAATGGAGACGCTTATTCTCAATTATCCCGCCGAATGTTAAATACTCTGGGGTCGTGTGAACGAAGAATGATCTGTGAATAAAATTTACTAGCGTGAATGGAGGAGCTTATCTCCAATTGCCCTAAGAAATATCGAGTACTCTGGGGTAGTGTGTTGGTAATTTATTGGAACGAATGGAAGAGCTTATCCCCTAAATAATTAACGAAGTGTTGTCTTCGATTATAATTAATTTGCATAAATGGAGTGGCTTGTGCCCAATCACCCCGAAGAAAATCGTGTTCTCTGAGATAGTATGACAGTAATTTATTAGCGTAACGCCCCAACTATTCCAAAGAATATTATGTACTCTGGGTTATTGTGGTAGTAATTCATTAGCGTGAATTGAGGACCTAATCCCTAAATGTCCCAAGGAAAGTTGAGTACTCTGGGATTGTGTGTCTGTATTGTCGTGTGTGAATGTAATTTATTAACGCGAATGGAGAGGCTCATTCTCAATTATCCCAAGGAATATCGAGTATTCTGGATAGCGTGAACGAAGTATTGTCTTCGATCGTAATTAATTAGCATAAACGGAGGAATTTATGCCCAATCACCCTGAGGAATATCGTTTAATCTGGGGTAGTGAGATTGAAGTATGCTATGCGAATGTCGAGTCTTAACCCCAATCACCCACGGGAATATCGTGTACTCTGAAATAATATGGAAATACTTTGTTAGCGTGAAACCTCAATCCAAATATGATAATCCAAAGAATATCATGTACTCTGAATTATTATTATGGTAATTTATTATTGTGAATTGAGGGGCTGATCCCTAAATATCCCAAGGAATGTTGAGTACTCTGGGATAGTGTGCATGAATTGTCGTGTGTGATTGTAATGTATTTAGGCGAATGGGGAGGCTTATTCTCAATTATCCCGACGAATATTAAATACTCTGGGGTCATGTGAACGAAGAATGATCTGTGAATGTAATTTATTAGCGTGAATGCAATACGTTAAAGAAAAGTGAGAGTCGGCTATATTTCTAAATGATCTGATCATGACTTGGCTGAAGAAACAGGAAAAGAAGAAGAAAGCAGGATTAAAGTATGGAAATGTTAAGTGGCGAAATAGCAGGCTGGCAGGGATGCATGGGGGGAGCATAAAGAAACGGCGAGTCGTTGCTTCATAGTTTACATGGAAGTATGTTCATTTTAATATATAAGATTGTCTTAATATCACTGTTAGAGAAATTTAAAATAAAAACGGGTTTTATTCGGAAATTTGTATTGCGTGACGTTACACTTTGTGACGACGCAACAAGGCGGCTACCGAGGCTGAAAGGAACCCGTTGTTGGGAGTTGGGACACCGATTCCATGTGGCTGCCACTTTTTTCCTGTTCCTCGACCTATCTGTTTTGGTCTTTTCCTTGTCCTTTCTGATCTGTGGAAAATTTCCTAATTCCGAAGGATGCTCAACGAGGAAAAAGGAGACTCCTGCGCCCAGCCTACACAGGTTAGATCATAGCCTCGGTTTTTTTAAAACTAGTTTTTTGGTGATTCTGCTTCAGACCATGTTAAAATAATCCAAATTTCTTGGTAAAAGTTGTAATTTTTTTTAATACATTTTATCTCGTCTATTTTGAACTCAGTAAACATTGTTGAACCTCAGTAACGATTTCAAGGGAGCAACACTGAAGAAATGGCATTTTGATTTTTAAAAAACTCCCAGCCGAATAAAGTTTGCAGTTTTTAACGGAAATGACTGTCGGTGGAAGTGATCCAACCACCAAGAACCAAAAAAAATAACTCCAAAAACTTTAATCTCAAATCATTTGCCATAAGGAGATTTACAACCGCAGTTTTCCGATACTTTCAATCGAACTGATAACATTTTCTCCACCCCTGACATACTACGAGCCAAAAAGTATCGTTTCTCTTTTATAATGCGCGTTTGGACTATACAAATGCCATAAAATATCTGTTAAAGATTTATATATAAGCCGGTGTATAATTGCATAAGGCTGCTCTCGCTGGAACTTGGATTTTTGATCGTCCACATTCGACCAATTTTCGTCTAGTTACCTGCAACTCGATCCCTGGAAGCTCGGATGTTCTATGTTCGATAGACGACCCAAGGCCTCAATTCGGCCAACTGCGAAACAACGTATTCATGCGAATTTCTGTGCGTGAAATGGTTCTTCATCCACTACTGCAGAATTTGTTAAGTTTGGTGGTTATATAAATTATAATAGAAGCGTTGAAGTTTACATGATCTTTCTCAATTAATTATACACAATTTTTTTCAAAATGAAAAATTTGTGTCAAGATCGAGATTCGAACCCACGACTTTTGGCTAAATATGCTGCTGCTCTACAACTTGACCTACCGTGACTTTGATCGCCCATGCCACAAACTTCCCATTTCGATTCCCCATTTATTCCAATTATATAATCTTACATTACTTATTACTTACTTATTACTCATTACCTAATAGTAGTCGGTTCCAGTGTTAGACCAGCACACGTGTAACATCTGGTAGATCTATAGTTACATTTAGTAAAAAAAAAGTCTGCCCCACCTTCAGCCACAATATCGTAAAAGTACAATATTATTTAATATGAATTTTTCAATAAAAAAAAATAAATTCAGAAACAACCAACTCTAAATGTCTATTAACGACTCTCAAAATCATTACAATTAATTTCAGATAATTATAGAATAGACTTTGTCCCTAAACTGATTTTTTTTTTGTATCCAAAAATATACACAAAAAATCTATTTCAACAAGTAGTATATGTACCGCCGAAGTGAGTACCCACACATGTGTGACTCATGGGTGCCTGTTGGTTGGCGCGAGTCGACCTAGGTGCCCAGCATGCCAAGTTGATAGACTCAGGTGTTGGAGGGGTGTCGCAGCTTGGCCCCGTATAGGGACCAAAATGGAATACCGCCGGATTATAGGAGAATGCTCAAGCATGGCAGCGAATTTAAGGAAAAACTTTTTAGGTTTCTAAGAGATATTGGGATTATGGGTAGTATATAGTGGGGTATTTATTTCATAGGTTAAAGTTTAGATTTAGTTAATGTTAGAATAGGAGTATGCTGGGCGGCGGTGCAGCATATTATTTCAAGGCTCCACTGCTGCTCCGCTAAGCTGGGTCGGGGCGGAATATCGAGTACCCTCCGACCCGGATTCTAGACAGAGGATATGCATGTGTGATTGGGTTTGTATATAGGTGTATGTTTGTATTTATTGTATGAGTGAGTGTAAGAATGACTTGTTTTAGGGAACGTAAGGGCGCCGAAATGACCTAAGAAGTCGATGGCGTCCGACTAGAGCCCAACCTCGGAGTTGCTCAGGCACCACGGTGGGTGACTACCCCTGATCTATCAGGGAGAGGCCAGAGGCCTCCTAGGAGGTCTCATAACTCTAATTTTCTAATTTCTAACAAGTAAGTGGGGTGCTGTTGATTTACTTTTCGCTAAAAAATAAGAAAACACTCAGCGTACGCACTTAAATACTTTTGTGTAGGGGAAGGTACGGTGCAATAAATCAGAGAGCAATAAATTCATAGAAATTTATTTTAACACTATTCCGTCTTAAGAAAAATACTAACAATCCAGACAGAACAGCCACAATTCCAACTCTGGGATGAGCTTGTTGACAAAAAATTTACCCAAATAAAGCTTGCCAATACCACCTTCCACATCTTCAGCGCCTTCCAGTATCTTCTTTCTGTACACCCCTTTAACAGTCGACTTTATCCAACAGGTCACAACTGCTGGTCCTTGCTGGTTTCTGCTATGGACCAAGTCCTGACGACTGGAATCCATTCCCCAAGTCGACTGGAAATAATTTTGCTTTCCAAATCATCCCCTTTTGTACCGGTTTCTGAACCAGAGTGGGGAAGTCCGATGGGTTTAAAATTGTTTTTAGTTTTGAATTCTACAATTATCTTTGTTTATATTTCTTGGCTGTTTATGTTTTGATGTCCTTACTTATACAAATATGTCGTATATTCTAGTTTAATATTTTCATATAAGCAATTAAATTTAAAGTTTAGTTTGGTCGTTTCCAATCATTTAGGTCTTACAGGCACAATTTCATCTTTCAAACAGACCAAAATGATCCAATACGGCCAAGCTGCAGATTCAGCGCCCTGCAGACTTATAAATGAATATCAATTATTTAAAAATGTTGTAGAGTCACCAAAAAAAATGTAATATGAATATGCCATCCCTTACCATTTCTGTCCTTTCCCAATTCTAAATTTGATATAGCTTTGTCCCTCTTATCACTGACTTTTAATTAGTCCTGGTATTTGCAGATTATTCTCGCCAATAGTTGCATGGAGTGATTGATAGTACTCAAACATGGTTACTGATGAATTCTTGAACAAGCTCGAGAGTTACTTAGCCGACCATAGTTACATAACTGGTTTTGAACCCACAAATCACGACATAATGATATATGAACTGTTGAAGTGCCCCTTAGCCAAATACGTCAATTTGACCCGCTGGCACAAACACATTGCAAGTTTTGGTGACGCCAAATTTTCGTTTGTCAGCGGTGATGGGTTACAGCCCTCCTTCAATTGTATCAATCAAGTGCAAGAATTCAAAAACGCTGAAAAGAAGGTAGAGAAATAAAATATTTTTAAGCACATTTTCAAGGCTTACTAAACCCACAAAATAATATTTTTTAACCTCAAGCTTTTTGTATTAGGTTTACTTGCGAATTTTAGCGGTTGAAAAAGTGACATCAACATTGATGCATTATTTTGAACATACCAAAAAACGAAAAATAACCTTTAAAATACGTCCTTTTAAAAAAAGGTAAATTAATTCATGTTAGGGATGGCTTAACATTAATGTACAACTAGACCAGGTCAGACCGCTTAACAATACTTTTTAAATTAACAATTAAAATTCCTTGAGCTGTGCTGGGATTTGAACCCATAACCACAAGTGTGGCAAATACAAGTCAGATACCCAACCACTAAGCCATAGCAGTCCCCACTTGTATTACTTTTTTAAAAATTATCTTCCCCTCTGTTAGCTGATCATGAATAAAAAATGCTACGTCCACTTATTTGTCACTTTGTAATGCATATAACATATACAACTTTGTAATGCAACAATTTGCTAATATAAACACAAGAGATGACCTCTTTTCACATCTGTAATCAGTCAATACTGATAAAAAGTCTGTTATTTACTAATAACTACAATAAATCATTGATAAAAAAATTAAATTATAATGCCCATTAGTAATTCTAAATATAGAAAAAATGTAAAAGGTTTAAAAATAAAGGGTTTAGTAGGTCTTTAGTTTAGATTTTTTTTTAAATCATGACTCATCCTGCATCACTTTGAGCATAATTTTTAACCATTTCTAATTGTTTCAAGAATAAGAATTTTAATAATTCACTTGTTTTAAGAACTAAGTAGTTGCTTCACTATTTAGTGCAAAGTTGAAATTTGAAATATAAAAAATAAATGTTAAAACACAGACCTTATTACTTGGAATTTAATTTTGCTCCTGATATTCTTAAAATGGGCTAAAATAGGCAAAAATTAGAGAGATATCCTATTTTAATATTTCAAATTTTGAAGAAGTTTTTGAATGAATATTACAAGGGAGAACATAAGCCATACCATTCTTTTTGCTTAAATTTAAGTTTCAGTTTTAAAATAAAAGTGTGTGTAAACTTAAGTTTTCATAGAAAAATTATGATACATGGTTAAGGAAAGTAATTACAAGAAAATCATGGATATGTAATCTAACCTGTTTCCAACTCTAACCCTAAATCTACCTAAACTAACCTAACTAACCCTAAACCTACTAAAACGAACCCTGACCATGCCTAAACTCACCCTACACCTACTTAAACTAACATAACCTAACCTAACCCATGCGCTCTCCCAGCTAACCCTATTCAGCCCAAAAACATATCCATATTTTACACATTTTAACTGGCTGAAAAATAGACTAAAGTACTATACACGTGTATATTTTTATATTCATAATTGTCAGTCCTTTTGATGTGTTCAATGATGATAGGTCAACAAAGGCATCATCTGGCCACTTCTAACTTAAAATATACTTCGAAATACCAAGTTTGATTTGTTGAATTACATAATGAAACATTTATAAAAATTATCAATCAAAAGTTTGCATACTTTCTAGAGTTGTAGTTTTGAGTAAGGCTTTTGGTGGAATAAATTATACTTTTATTAATTAGCGATTTGATTTAAAAAAATTAGTAATTTGACATACGAATTGATGTGTTTGCTAACATTTTCTGTTTTAATAACAAAATTTCAACAATATTTCATTTTTCATATTTTTATAAGATCCTTAATTGCATGTTTAGGTTTATTAATTGCACCTTTATTATTCTATTGTGTTCCGATTTGGCAGGTTCAAAATGAAAACGGCAGCGCAAAACAAAAGAAAGTCAAGAAAGAGAAAAAAGCTGTTGGTGATCAAGAAACATGTTCTGAACTCAATCCCTGGCCATCTTATATTCAGGTATGTCTTTCCACCACATATTTTCTAGTCAGGTCACGATCATTCCGCGTACTTGACCCCGGCTAGTGTTGGTTTTCTTAAATATGTATTACACTATTCGACTGGTCAATTCATATATATACTAATAAACACTTCTAAAGAAAAGGAAGTTCAAAGATTATATCGGTAAAGAAAGGAAAAAGTTAAAAATACGAGGAGTCCGCCTGTTGAGTGAAAGACAAGAAAAAGATGCTAATGGATCGAATCAGGAACGCTCATTCAATGTAGGAAAACGCTGCGACAATGAAGCCAGCATGGATTTAATAAAGAGGAAAATAAATACAATAGAAAAAATAATCCAATTAAATATTTTAAAAACATTGGCACGCAAATGGTCTAATTGAAATTTTTAGAAAATTGAATGAGGCAAAATAATTATTCAGAGGTTTAGAACATAGTGGAGAATATGTTCTTATCGTCAAATTCCACAAATTTATTATACCCAATACCAATAAATGCTGTATGACAGATTGAACCTCGTAAAGATGACAGCGGACTTCTCTTAATATCCCTCCAGTTAAAGGATAAATGGTTATCGTAGGTAAAACCTTTAAGGGAAGCAAAATTTTTCCCACTAGACTAGGCAGAAAAAAATAAACTCTAAATATGAGCAGAAATAAGTCAAATGAAAGATGTTAGCAGCATAGAAGATTTAATGAGAAGAAGAATGAGCACAAGGACTTTTATCATTTTATGCGATTTTTCCTGATTTCAAGAGAATTTGGATTATAATTTTTTTCTGATTATCTCAATTATTATTATAATTATTTTTCTGATGATAAATTAAACCATTTGTCTACTATTTAATACAGGGTGGCCAGAAATGGCTTTATTCTGCAAGAAAGCATGCAAATACAAATTATTTCAAGAGAATTTTAATTTTTTAACATGTAATCATGTATGATTAACTAAATAAACAATTTTGTCTACTTCTTTCTTATAGTAGTCAGTTTTATATACTAAGACATGAATTTAATGCTTTGTTTGATCAGGAGCGTATAAATTTGTGGGATGCAATGAAGGAAAAATATGTATCCGAATTGAAGTCCAAAGAAAAAAGGCCAATTGTGATATCGTTACCGGCCGGTGATCCCAAAGAGGGATTGTCGTGGCAAACGACACCTTACGATATTGCAAAGCAGATTAGGTAAGTGTGCTTAAAACATTTCTTAAAAATATTTAAATATATATACGTATATTGACACTTACTTTTAGCCAAGGATTAGCAGATGACGCAGTAATCGCTAAAGTTAACGGCGAACTCTGGGACATGGATCGCCCGCTAGTTACAAATTGTTCACTTGAATTTTTGAAGTTCAATGACCCCGAAGGTATTTTTAATCATTGTTAAGTTGTATTATAGTTTGCATTCTTCAGTCATATTGTTATTCTTCATTATATTTGTTAGAAATTAATGCTTTGCTTTAATTTCCAGCTCAAGCAGTATTTTGGCATTCATCTGCTCATATCTTAGGTGAAGCCATGGAAAGAATTTATGGCGGTTGTTTGTGCTATGGCCCTCCCATAGAAGGCGGTTTTTACTATGACATGTTTAGCCCAGAAAAACAGGTTATTCAAACAATTCTCTAGCTAACTATGTTCAATTTGTAATCCCCCCATTTTATTTGTGTTCAGGTATCGAATTTAGATTTTCCTGTCATTGAGAATTTAGTAAAAGGTATTGTCAAGGAAAAGCAACAATTTGAAAGATTAGAATTATCCAAGGAGGATTTGCTTGAAATGTTCAAGGTTGGTTGGAAATAATAAAACCACATATTTTTAAATATAGGTTCTTGGTAATACATACCTAATAAATGTTTTAGTACAACCAGTTTAAAGTCCGAATTTTGAAGGAAAAGGTCAAAACGGATTCCACAACAGTTTACCGTTGTGGACCGTTGATCGATTTGTGCCGAGGGCCTCATGTCCGACACACCGGATATGTGAAATCCTTCAAACTTACCAAGGTCTGTGATTTAATTAAATAAAAATCAAGAAGGATCATTATGGAAGATTATTTTTTATTTCAGAATTCAGCTACTTACTGGGAGGGCAAAGCAGATGCCGAATCGTTGCAGAGGGTTTACGGGATATCTTTCCCAGACAATAAAAAAATGAAGGAATGGCAAAAGTTCCAAGAAGAAGCTGCAAAGAGAGATCATCGGAAGTTAGGAAGAGTAAGTACTGCACGTCAGTTTTAAATAAATCTGTGGTGTAAAACTGAGACAGTGAGATTTTCGTTATAGGAACAGGAGCTGTTTTTCTTCCATGAGTTAAGCCCGGGTTCATGCTTCTTTCAGCCTAAAGGCGCTCGGATTTACAATACTTTAATCGAATTCATCAGATCTGAGTACAGGGAGAGGGGATTTCAAGAAGTTGTAACGCCAAATATTTATAATTCAAAATTGTGGCAAACTTCTGGACACTGGGCTCATTACGCCGTACGTGTGATATTTCTCAATTAATATATTCATCAAGCATATTTTAATGACCTGTTTAAATACTAGGAAAACATGTTTTCGTTTGAAGTTGAAAAAGAACAGTTTGCATTGAAACCGATGAACTGCCCAGGACATTGGTAATTATCTAACAAAAGAATTTTTCTTAACTAGTGTTTTGATTCTAAATTTACGGTGAATTAAATTTCAGCTTAATATTTGATCATAGAGTGAGGTCTTGGAGGGAGCTTCCCTTAAGACTGGCCGATTTTGGTGTACTACATAGAAATGAGCTGTCCGGTGCTTTGACCGGTCTTACAAGAGTAAGGAGGTTCCAACAAGACGACGCGCATATATTTTGCACAGTAGCGCAAGTAAGTGTTTCTTTCAAAATGACTGGTACAAAGAAAGAAAAAACTAAATAATAAATAATTATTGGTACTAATTAATTATTTCCCGACAGATTCATGAAGAAATCACCCAGGCGTTGAAATTCCTCCAACACGTCTACTCTGTTTTCGGATTTACATTTCAGCTTTGCCTATCTACTCGACCTGATAATTACCTAGGAGAAGTCGAAGTGTGGAATGAAGCTGAAAAGGTTTTATACATTAAAATATATATATATATATATATATATATTATATCGTACATTTCAAGTTGAAGAAAAATAATATTTTTTGTTTGTTTTAGCAATTAGCTGAAAGTTTAAATGAATTTGGACACCCTTGGAAGGAAAATCCTGGTGATGGTGCTTTTTACGGTCCTAAAATCGATATTACAATCCAAGATGCCCTGCGTAGATCCCACCAGTGCGCTACGATCCAGTTAGATTTTCAATTGCCTATTAGATTCGGCTTGAATTATGTCGCGTAAGTTTCCATCGCGTTTGATTAAATGTATAAGGAGATTGATTTGTTTCATTTTTGCAGTGAGAACGGAGAGAAAGTAAGACCTGTAATGATCCATAGAGCGATTCTCGGTTCTGTCGAAAGAATGATTGCGATTCTCACTGAATCTTTCGCTGGTAAATGGCCCTTTTGGTTATCTCCAAATCAAGTCATGGTCGTCCCTGTGGCTTCTGAATTTGATGACTATGCAATCGAAGTAAGCCAATGACTGTTCTAAAAAGTATTAACACATTGAATGCGAGAGCCCTTAAAGACTGTCAACCCATTGGGGCAGCAATTTTTTTCTCTAAATTATCATTTGCAGGTAGGTCTCCTATGAGATCTGCCGCCTCAGGGTATTATACAACTTGCACACTGCCTAATTCCCAATTTTTGTAAAACCCTTTTTTTTACTTTTTATTGGGGTGTCTGGTGGGCACAATTGTTAAGGCGTTGATGCAGCGCTCATCACTGTAAGGCTCAATGGTCCTACATTCAAACCCGACATACACCCCCCAAAAAAAAAAAAAAAAAAAAAAAAGTACCTGGGGGTTGATATAACCTCTGCTGATAATTTTGTTCTTCTGATTTTCTTTTATAATGCAGTGGAGACACAGACCAATTTTTCTGTCACCAGTGCGACACCCTGCCCACAAGAATATTCTTACTTTCTTACTTCACCCTTCAGCTCTTTTGCTGTAATTTATGCGATTTGTCATTTTCATTCCTCAGACGTTGAAGTTTCAAGTAGAAAAATGGCCGGTAAGAGGATGAAGGAGTCTAGTCAGGATGGTTAGGATACCCCTTAAACGCCAGAGACTATGAAGTCCAGCCGGAAGTTGTTTGTCTCCTGGAAGAGATGAAAGGCTTTTTATACTGTTTCAGCTACTTTCTTACTTCATCTTTCAACCGTTTTATCCAATTTGTCATTTTTATCTACCAGACGTTAAATGTACGAGTAGGAAAAGAGGATGGGAAATTATAAAAGGACCACTACTGGATTTTGACCGTAAAACATTGGGGTTTCGAGTTTATTGGTATTAGTAAAAAAAAGCATTACTGTGAGGAAAAAAAATCTAATTTTGCTCTATAATAAGTAAATTTTTTTATCGTACTGCTGTGAAATACATTTCTCTTGACAGTAAATTTTTTTTGTTCCTCAAAAATACTTTCATTTGAAGGAAAAAAGACTGAATTTGTAAATAGTCACATTATTTTTTTGCCACATATTCAGATTATATTTATTTTAATAATTAATATGCTTTAAAACGCATTTACAAATAAAATAAAATACAAATAACAATTAATTCATTTTTTCATAGTTCGCAGGCCAGCGTACTGAAATATGAGTGGGTACTCAATAGATATTGCTAGTATGCCTAACTTAAGCTTCCCCATATACAGACATTGTTCCATAACGTGTCCAACAAATTTAAAAACGGCCATTTTTTTAGAAAAAATTTAATAGAGCATCATTTATGAAACCTAAATAGATCTCAAAACTTTAAAAAATCCGTATTTTGAGCGTGTACATTTTTTTTTTTTTTTTGTAATATAGTATATAAATCTTTGGTTTTAGGTGAGCAAAATGTTACACAAGGCCGGATTTGTGTGCGATTATGATATTGATCGTGGGGACACGATGAATAAAAAGATTCGTAACGCTCAGTTGGCTCAGTACAATTTTATCCTTGGTAAGTTTTCTTATCTGACCTTTTGCAATACATATATATTTTAAATTTGTGTTCATTTGTATTTTTATTTTATTTCAGTCGTCGGTGAAAAGGAGAAAGTGAATAAAACTGCCAATGTTAGAACAAGAGATAATGTAGTTCATGGTGAATTGTTGCTGCCGGATTTGATCAAAAAATTGACTAAGCTGAAAGACTCCAGAAGTAACGAGAATACAATTTAAAATTTGTTCTCGATACTTTTATTTAATTTGGACGGAAGCTCTGGTGATTTCTTATTTATGAATTGTATGAAAGTTTCCACTAATACATTTTTTTGTTAGTGTCTCATGCTTTAAATAATTTTTATCAGTGAAGACATTGAAATCCTAAGACCCTTATTGTCAATTTTAAAATTATTAATTGATATAATTATGGAAAAAGTACCTTTGAAAGATTTACAAAATGGTGAGTAGTAAAAGTGTGAGATTGTAATGAGAGAAAAAGTCAATATGGAATATTAACCCAACTGAACATTTGAACCACACACTTCTTGGTGTACAAAGCAAAACCTTTTTGTAACGAATGGAATCAAAGTTAATGTTAAAGGAGTCGGCCTCTTTACGACCTCGTGTACTACGACTAATATTGGTCTGTTGTGATATCTATATCATTGTATAGAACTTAAGGCTTGTCATCAAATCTCCAGTGTTAATCTTTCAGGCCTTGACTTTTCCTCTTTCAGGCCTTGACTTTTCCTCTTTCAGGAGTAGGAATCTCAGCGAATTTGCCCTTATGCAAAACAAGAGATGATAAAAAAAACTAAGTTGCCTGGGATATTGCCAGTACCTTTTAATGAGTTCCACGAATAGGCCTTCACACCAATTGCCTCCTGAGTTTGCTACAAGTGAGCAGTTATACTGTTTTTCTAGTCCGACCACCTAGTTTAGTAATTTTCCTGTTAGTTTCTTCTATAGAACTTTGATGAACTTTTTCACTTCTGTGCTATATTTCCATTGTACTAGAAAGGTATCCTGATCGAACTTAACCAATTTATCAGTCTCCTATGCCCAGTATGGTCTAGCTCTCAAACAAGGGTGATTATATTGTTTTTTTCCAATGTCTGATAGGGTTGATGCAATCCCAAACAGCTCTGGGCTTTAGTACCACCTGTTTGTCCAAGTGTTGGTTATTCTTTTATTGATAATGCCAATTTTCATTTGAAATTGATCAAAACTGATTTTTGGCATAATTTCATTTACAGACATCCCCAGAGCCTGAAAATCTCCTACTTGGCAAATAGGATATTGGAGCCAGGGAACACAATCAAGTTCTAAAGGAACAACATCCTGCATTCCTCATCTTGCTTCTTTAGATGACCCAATCTTTCAAAGAATGGCCCACTTCCTTGAAGGAAATTTATACTGTTTTATATGTTTCATGGAAAAACATTGAATTATGAAGCCAACTTAACCTAGCCTATGCGCTCTTACCTACATTAAGGCATGTTATGTACAAGATACAAGTTTTTAGAGAAGAGACTTTGGCAAATAGAAAAAAAAATATTTCAACAACACTCAACCCACACAATTTTTGGCTGCATTTCTGGCTCCACTTGACAAAAAAACCATTAAATTGTGAATATGTAACCTAACCCCATTTTACTTAACCTACCCTAGTCTTACTTAATGTAACCTATCCCTAACCCAACCTACGAGCACCTATGGAGATGCTATGAAACCTAACCTCATCTTTCCTAACCTAGTCTAACTCTAATCCAACCTATGCGCACCTACCTGCAAACGTTATGTACAAGTTTTTTAGAGAAGGGACTGGTCAATAGGAAAAAATGTTTCTTTCAACAAGACAACACTCAACCCACATAACTCAGGGCTCAATTTTTTTGCTCCACTTACAGAAAATCATTAAATCCTGGATAAGTAACCTAACCCTACTTTACCTAATCTGACCTAGCTTTAACTTACCTACCTAACGTTCCACTCTAACCTTCTGTCTCACCCGAACACTTCTGTTCAAGACGCAGTGAACGTTTTTTTTCCACTTGTGTTGTCTTAATGTCCAACTAAATACTGTGTGTTGCAGACAAGGGGGTCATACTGCATTATAATAGATTTTCATACTATAATCTATTTAAACCAAAACCATGGGCTTTGCCGGGATTCACACCCAGAACCTCTAATGAGGCAAACATGAGTCGCTCATGACTCAGCTACTAAAATAATAAAATACTCAGCTCTAAAATAAAATAAAAAATTCATTTCATGGGAGACAACACAATATTATTGAAAAAAGAAACATGCTTCAATTTATTATTGTTTGTACTTTTTGCACTGTAGCAAGCTTAAAGTAGTTGAGAGTTGTTCTCAACTAGGCCGATGAGTAACATTGTAAAAAAAGTAGAAGAAAGAAGAAAAGTAGAAAAAAAGTTCTAAACAATTGATAAACATTTTATTCAATAAAAAATAACCCAACCATTAAAAAAGTAAAAATTATACATTGTCAATATCACAGTAAATTATATACATCCTACAGTTTAGAAGATAAGATCATAAGATCTTTAAGTTTCTGTGCGAGCATTATGTTGCCCTTAATCTTGAGCATTCCTTTCATAAAGGCTGTCTGTGGGTTCAATTGACCGAGTGCCTAAAACAGGAATTTTTAAAATTTACACGTTTCTAAAACAAAATTGTATGCTGATCTTACCATTTTAACCATAATATTATCTTCTAAAATCAATGTAGTGTTTGCATTTACCCCTGGCTCAGGAAGTCCCTTGTATACCTTGCCCGATATCAAATCGACAGCTAAAAAATTGAAATGAAGCATTATTGTTAGCAAACCAGAAAAACTGCCTGTGTAAAATTTTAACTTTTTAAAGTTTATTTTAAAAATGTAAAAGGACTAACTCCAAATTGCAGCTTCTTCTCCCTGGGATAGAATCTTGTAAAGAAACACTCCATTTATTTTCTTACACACTTCATTATGCCCTTTGACTAGTTCTCCGATTTTTTGAAACACAACATTGCTCTCTAACGAAGAATCGTTGATGTCAGAACGAGGAGCAGCTTCGAGAACTTGATGTAAATCAACGTAAGCACCTGAAACAAAAAAAATGGTTTAGTTCATTTCCAATATTATACATTTGAAACACTCACCAGAAATTACTGTAGCATTTGAAGAGATAGACTGGAAATGTATGCGGTTACCTTCTTTCCACATTTCAGTTCTCAAAACCTCCCCTGGGTATGTAGGCTTAGCAAACCTCACCTGTAAGTAATTAAGTGGACTTAATTTTAAAGTAAAAAGGTTAGAATAGACATCCTTCTACCTGGTTGAAAAAAAAAAAAAATGAGAAAAGGTTTTACGGTATTAAATGAACTAACCTTAATGGCTTTAAAACAACTTGGATCTCCTTCTGCAAAAGTGTTGAGCACATGTCTCGCCGAGAAGCCCAATGAGCACAACCCATGCAAAATCGGTTTTTCATAGCCTGCAATTGAAGCGAACGAGGGGTCGATGTGTAGCGGATTCGAGTCACCAGACAATCTATACATCACTGCCTACAAATAGAAATTTGTTAAACACTAATCTTCCATTGTAGTAATAAAATCAAACCTGGTTTTCGCCAATCTTCTCTTCGACAATGTGATCTGGCTTTCTAGATGGTGGGGCTTGAGTTTGAACGCATTTCGTCGATTCCTTTAATCCACCAAATCCTCCAGCGTTCACGACAACGACTGTCATTTCTCCATAGCAGATTTTATCATTGTTTTCATCAAAAGTTTCCACTACAATTAATGTTGTATGATTAATCAATCATTATAAGGGATAATTTGATAACACTGTCGGATACGATGACAAATATCATTTGAAGCCATAACCTTTTCCAAAGAAACTTGAAAAAAGTGCCTAGGTATAACCATGGGTCAGAGATTATGCAGCAAAACCAGAACAAACCCAAAAATCTCCTTGTATACAATGGTTTGACCTCTCAACACTAGTTTGGTGGCCAAAAGCACTACATACGGAGACTCAAAACAAATCACAAAATCTGCAAAGGTTAGCAAGTCTTAACATAACAGGGGCGATGCTTACATGTGTAGAGAATTAAAATAAATGAGGTAGCGCTGTAGCAAGTGCCTGACAAAATGAAAGAAAAAGAAAGAAGAAAAAAATAGATACTTCCAATTGGTAATAGATAACAGAAACTTTGGAAGAAAGGCCCAAGTTTCAAGAAGGCCCTGATACGGTTTGAAGAATTGAAGATGGAATTGGGAGTAGGTGTAGGGATAAAAGGGCTGAATTATAGCCTAGCAAAACCCCTTGGACTAATCCCAACAATTTTCCAAGCTGAGGTCCATATCCAACTTTTTAAAAGAAGTTAAATCTAAAAGACCCACTATAAATAAAAGATGAAACCTTAACATTCGCCAAATAAACACATACCTAGGTATAACTCTCGACCAACAGCCCACAAGTTGATAAAGAAGAGAAATGTGCATGGATTTACATACTTTCAGATAGTTAGGCAGCTATAAAGGCACTAAATGTGGTTTTTTAGTTTCAAACTACTTTGGAAATGCCTAAATTGCTTAATGACCAAAATGGGTTCTGGGATATTAATGTATAGAAGGAAATGAACAGGCTGATCAACTCACCAAAGAATGAGCAGCCATGGAACCACAACTAGGCTCACCATGGAATGTACAAAAATGTTGGCCCTGAAAAAACGGCTTGAAAAATAAAAACTCAAGCACTGGACAAAAAGCACCGGGTATGAGGCAAGCTAACAGATTCATAAATCTCTCAAAAGGGAAGGTGAAGGAAATTTTATCTCTCAGCCCGCATGATTTGAAGAAAATCACAGGAAAATGTGTGAAGAGGCATTTAAGGAAAAAAATTTTGGGAGAAAAGTGCACTTTCTACGGTATGGTCTTAATTGGACAGGTATTGTGATACAACCTTTTTTTTTTTTGTATTTTTGGGAAAACCTCCAGCCTAAATTTGTCCTGTCTAGTTTCTCATGGGTCAAAAAGTTTTGATCTAACAATAAGACTCCAAAATAGCAGGACTACGAATAGAAGCTTAAATATTTCAAATGGCGAGATTCTCAAATATACACGTTTTTATGAAAGGTTTTTTTTACGCTGAATTCAACAGTGCAGACTGTTTTCAATTTGGAGCAACCATTCACAACTTATTCACACACAAAAAATATTTCCAAGTATTGTTTTTTGGAAAAAAAAAAATCTCCAACTTCTTCAACCAAAAACCAATTTATTTATAAGTTGAATTGATGTAAATGAATTGCTCATGATACTGAAAGAAAATCTTTGCAATGGTTTCTAACACAACTCTGGATGTTGCTCATTAAATCATCATTTCATCTGGTGCAAATTTTGACCCAAAATACAGATTTCAATGAATAAGAGAAAAAATAATAAAAACTAATTGAAATGATAGTTTAATACATACCGCCGACTACAAAAACAGCATTTTTCCCTTTATCAAGAACTTCAATTAACTTGCACTTGCTCTTGGTAACACCTGTAGTCGGTAATGGTTTAAAAAGTTCCAAATACTGCTCACCATGCAAAATCTAAAGAAAAATAATAATATTAAAAGGGTGAAGATAGAAAAAATGAACAAATGGATTCCAGCTTTGCTTTCTAGTAATATTGACATTTTCATTTACTCAACTGAATCATTATGCAAACAAACATGCTCTTGTCTTAAAGTTCAGTACGTATGTTTTGTTTGCCTTTCTTTTCATGAAAATTATGTAAAGGTAAGAAAATCTTAACATTGCAACATTATCTGAAAATAGTACATTTTCATACAAAAAACTCAGGCATGTCATTGTACTAGGTTTTATAGAGATTTTTGCGAATAGGACGAAATTTTTGTTTCAACGAGACATCTCTCAACCCACACAATTTTCTCCACAAAAATTTATTTCTATTTGCCAGTCTTTTTAAAACCTTGTAGGTACATACGGTAAAGTACTTATGCTTTTATATAGGAAGGCGAGCATATGTTGGGTTGGGGAAGAGTTAGGTTAAGGTAATTAGGTAGGATTAGGTTACATATCCATGCTTAAATGATTTTTTGTAACATGGAGCAAAAAATTCAGCCAAGAATTGTGTGGGTTGAGTGTTGTTAAAAAAAAAAATATTTTCCTATTCACCAAAGTCTCTTCTCTAAAACCTTGTATATAACATGCCTTAGGTTAGGTTTAGGTAAAGTAAGGTAAGGGTACGGTTAGGTAGGGTAGATTTAGGTAAGATAGGATAGGGTTAGTGGTGGGTTAGGTTAGCCTGACCAACGCCTAGTAATGACTACTAAAAGATTAAATGAATGGAACTGTGAGGAAATTGATCAATCAAGATTAGTGAGTAGTTGAATCACTGGAGATAGATTCCAAAAGAGAAAATCCCAAGAAGAATTCCCATTCAAGTACATTTTTATGAAAATTGGTATTTGAATTTTTTTAAATTACCTGACTTAAATCGTAACTTCTGCCAGGGATTGCATTCGATGTCAGTGGTGATGTCATCACTGCGAGTTGTCCTGGAATAATGGCCATTGTTGGAAACGCGGAAAACTTCTCATCATTTTCATAGAGGAACTTGACCTCATTTGGGTTTGTGATACTTGCACCAACTAGAAACATAAAAGAACCAAGTCAAAATTGAACCTGACATTATATAGACTCAAATATTTCCTTCCAAATAAAGAACTAGACTTATGAGGAAGTATAACTTAAACACATACTTCCTAATGCGAAAACAATGCAATCTTTGTGGTTTAAATGGAGACAGTACTCTTCTTCCTGAAATTACAAAGTGCAATACATTCAACATAGAAATTATTGTGATATTAAATCTTTTTTTTTTAAACTATCTTTAGAAAAAGAGCTTAATAGGGGTATGCATACATGTTTTGGTTCTAAAACATCTCCGCTTTTCATTCTTTCCATTTGTGTCATAAGACCACCTGTTGCTTCCTAGAAAAAAAAGAAAAAATCAGGGAACTATTGAATTCCATAAATAACAATGCTCAATAAACAGGTTTACCTCTATTGAACCAAGAGTTTCTGTTGTGGTCAAATCAGTAACTTGTTCCCAATTTGCCTGAACCTCTTCTGGAGTGACAACGTCTTCCATGCTTTTTCTTAAAATTGCTCCCGGTCCTCGAACCAAAGAATCTAGTACAAAGAATTACAGTTGCATATAAGAAAATAGCAAATCAAAGTATAACAAATATATGACTGCTTACATTTTGTTGCCCAACCGGCAGCAGATTCAATCACGGAGCCGTTTTCGGAACAATCTTCATGACATAACCATACGACAACAGGAGCAATCAACTCTGGTTTTAATTCTTTAAAGAATTCTAAAATCAGGAGAAATTTGTTAAAATAGTCATGGTAATAAAATAAAGTGTAATATATTAGATAAATTACCTGGGGGTAAAATGTCTTCTGTAAGCCTAGAGGCGGCAGTTGGTACAATCACATTGCAATTAATGTTGTTCTTTCTCCCTTCAATTGCCAATGTTTTACATAATCCAACAACGCCCATTTTTGCAGCACTAAAAATGGAGAGAAAGTTCATACTTTAATTGCTTAAAAAATTAAAAGTAAACTAAGATAACAAGAACAAAAAAATTCGAGACATCCTTAGGTGCTTGCGTAATTTCAATAAGTATCACATATTATATTTCTACCTGTAATTAGCTTGACCAAAATTTCCATAAAGACCAGAGTTGGAAGCTGTAACAATGACTCGGCCGTAGTTTTGCTTTCTGAAATGAGGCCATGCTGCTTGAGTCGTTTTGAACGTTCCTTTAAGGTGAACATCATGAATCAAATCTAAAAATAAAAATGATTTAAATAAAACATAAATAAGCAGAACAAAAATGGGATAAAGTTGAAAGTCGAGCAATTAAAATATTAATTACCCCAATCTGCATTGCTGATTCTTGCAAAAGATTTATCTCTCAAAATTCCAGCGTTGTTTACGACAACATCGATCCTTCCAAAATTTTCTAAGGCCGTTTGTACTATCTTATCACCATCAACAACACTATTGTAATCTCCAACAGCTTTGCCACCTTTCCATACAAACATTATTAAATTAGGTTACAGTTTGATGTAAAATTTAAATCTACTTTTTCCATTATTATATCTGCGATGGTGTAGGGTGGGATTTTTCAGCCAGATAAAAAGATGTTTTCTCACTTTTTCATTATTTTGGCTTTTCTCCTTTTTCAAAGTGTCCAGAACAAGATGTGCTCACAATTTTTAAAAATAAAATGTAAAAACTGGGCCAACTTCCTCCAGCATAAACACTCAGAAAGATTATAATTTTTTACACATGATATATTCACCTGTAATCTTTCCAAGGGTTTATGCCACAGGAAGTTGGTCCAGTTTTTAAATTTTATTTTAGCAAATTTTGTGAACACCTTTTTCCAGACACTTTGGAAAAGGAACGGTTCTGAAACTTGGTATACAAAAAATGAAAAAATGGGGGTTCAGTGGCCGCAACGGTTTAGGCATTGACATGGCACGGACCGCTGTAAAGTAAAAGTCCCAGGTTCAAATCCAGCAGCCCTGCATTAGAACCTGGCATACTTATAAATGGGCTATGGACTTTTTTTCAAAATCATCAAAACTCCAAAAGTTCATATAACCTCATAGTTGAAATACCCTCATTTAAAAAAATAAAATAAAATAAAAAGTGGGAAAATATCAAAATAAATATAATACGTGGAAGTACAGTCATCCACTACTTTTTTTTTATTTCCATCAGGATGGCAGGTGTTTTTGAGAAGAAAAAACATTACTAAGTGTGTTGGGTTTAAACAAAGGGCTGATGGATTTGAGCCCAGGACCTTTTCCTTACCTTTACCTTTGATGACCTCAGGTCTAGGACCGTTGTCCCCTCTAGAGACATTATTACATGATTTTTTGTTTGTGAGTTTTGCTTTCTTCAACAGTTGGATTGAATTTAAATACTTTAAATACTTTTTTTTGCCTTGATTTAATTACTTTTAGAACAATGGCTTTACCAACTCTTCAAAAAATTAATAACAATCTTACAATTAATTAAGGTTTCAGTTGAGATAAAAAAGTCAATGGCACGAGCAGGATTCAAACCCACGATCTTCAGCTAGATACGCCGCTGCTCTACCACTTGAGCTATCGTGACCTCGATCCACTCGGACACTAACTTCCCATCTCAACCACACCTTTTTTTTTTAATTTTTCCTCCTTTTTGCCATTTTTCAAATGTTGTGTAATCAATTTGATTCTCGGTGACAAATGAAATGGCCACGGAGAGCTTTAGTGAAGGTATACTTCGAAGATCGTGGGTTTGAATCCCGCTCGTGCCATTGACTTTTTTATATGCCATTGTCTTCAGAGGTGAAATGCTAAAACACATCTGACATACCAAATAATTGTGGAAAGGCAAAAGATAAAAAAAAATGGCAAATACAAATTGGAAAAAGCATATATACATTCCTTACCCATTTTTTTTATTTCTTCAACTACAGCATCAGCTGCTTTCGAACTGCTACCATCTCCGGATCTGGTGCTACCTAGGTCATTCACAACTACAGAAGCACCCCGTGATCCAAATAACAGTGCATAAGCACGTCCTAGACCTGGAAATATTTTTTATTTATAAAATCCATTGAATAATCTAAACTAATTTGAACAAGTTATTTTATTTTTATTAAAAATTTCTACAAATCTTGCTCAGTATAATAAAATACTTAATATAAAGGCACCACATCAGTATGCTTTTAGCTCCAAGCTAGTCTGGGTCTAAATTGCCTAATGGCCATAGGAGGCACAAGAAGTTTCAGGACATGAAGTATAAAAAGGCAATGAACAGGCTGTCCAACTAGCCAAAGAAGGGGCAGCCCTCTCACTCACCCAAGGAGAGTCAGAAAAATGGTGAAAAAGAAAAACTAAAGCACTGGACAAATACATTAGGTATGAGGCAAGTTAAGATTTATAGACCTTTCAAATAGGAAAGTAAAGGTTCTTGATTTGAGTAAAATACCAGCCAACTAAAAATGTGCAAATCGGAGATATGCCGATTCTGTCATGTCTGAAGGATTAGTGTGGTTACATTTTTTTTTTTTTTTTTTTAAACAATGGATACCAGGGACTGGAGGAGTTCCCCCCTGAGCTGTACAGCTTATTTTACTTTATCCCTGGCTCCATATTTTATTTTATTTGGGGGGGGGCTCGCAACACAAATGTGAACTTGAGCCCTCATTGTGCCGGTGTTCTTCCATCGAAGAAACTCATTTTTGAAGGGGGTAGGGACCAAATTCATGGTAGCTGAGATCCTATCCCGCCCCTTCCATTGATGAGTGCCATGTCAATTTCTTTCAATTGCGACCACCGGTCCCCTTAGGCGTCAGAAAAAGTCCAGAGGCGATGGTCGGGAAGGAACCCACGACCGCGGGATCTACTACCGCAGCCCCTCGTGGTTACATTACAGCCAGTTTAGTAAGCAAATTCTCACACCAAAGAAATGTGCAAAAAGGCTCTGAATAAAGTCCTTAGTTTTGTTTTGGGAAAAATTTCTACAAATCTTCCTTGGTAGAATAAAATACACAAAACATTCTATCGCGACAAATCATAACTTTATCTTTAAACCCATTTTTTTATCCCATGAATCATCAAATGAACCGAAACGCTATTCATAAGTCATGGGAAGTTAAATAACAATGAATAATGTGAGGTCGGGAACACCAAGTTCAAAGAGAAGTAATTGTCTTTTTAAACGATTGTGTCACTGTCAGCATAATCAACAAAACTAGATAAGAAAAAACTTAAACGGCAAATGAAAACAATATTACCATAAAAAGTCTCTCTTGATAGTCTGAATCTTACAATTATATTTTTTTACAGTGTATTGTATTGCAATGAATAAATTAATATATTTTTAACTACTAAATTGAAGGTTTTCAGTCTGTGGATTTAGACAAATTAACGTTTTGTTTTCATTTTATAATTTTTTTTCTCCATAGCTGAAACAGGACGAATCTACAATGAAATTTGAAGAAAGGACTGAGTTGGTCTTATCACTGATTTTAAATATAAAACTACAACATTGAAGGCTGGTATCAATTATATCAAGATAATTTTAATTAAACTTAAGATTGTTACAAAAATGTTCATACCTGCCCCAGCTCCTGTGACAATGACCACTTTTCCATCGAACCTGAGCTTTTCCATCTTACTCTATCTGAAAATACATTATAAAATATAATAATGACAAGAGAAACAAACAACTGATTAATCTGGCAGTCTGCAAGAACCACCAAGAATAACCCACCACCGTCTGGGGTCAGACCTCTTGATAACAGTTCTCACTTCAGCCTACAATGCATGCAGTTTTTAAAACTTCTCACACGAATCATTCAATCATAACTACATTATTTTTTATTTACATACCATTCACTTAATTAGGGTGGTGGATTACTTGAATACCATTGGCCCTACTACACTACACATTCACTCTAATAAATACATTCACTCTCAATATATACAAAACACAATAAAACAGCCGTATTTCCTCCAAAAATCAGAACAGGAGACCAAATACTCTCTGCTATGCTCAATCACAATATCGGGTGACATTATTACACGCTCTCTATTTGGAGCCAAGGAATGACTGGAGTTAGGTGGGACAACGAGCAACATTTCTCTATATGCCAGATAGATATGCAGGCTTTGACCCAAAAGAAAGTGTCTATGTGTCAACCAAGCATGGCCTATTCTTAATCGGTTGAGGATGTTCCCCAGATTAAAGATCCTCTGTGGGCCAATCTATCGACAGTGCTCTTGATACATGAGAGCCAATCCTACCCAAAACAACCAATAATTAGTTTTATTGCACATAATCATTAAACTTATTTATTATGGAATTTTTAATGAAGAAAATAAAATTAAATTTGACGGGAATTTGTAAAACATTGTGGAGTATTTTCTTTGTACAAGCACACCACTAAAGATGGTGAAAAAAATTAAACACAAAAAACAGGCCCAAATGACGAGGAAAAGCTGACAAAAATGAACACAAATGACCAAGTAAAGTAAAAAGAAAGGGAATTCCTGTCGTACAGGAGGGCTGAACGTACAACCACCCATTGGGTGTTGCGGACAAAGGGTCAAATCATTTTATAATACTTCTTTCATACTACTCTCAACCCAGAACCGCTAGCACGGCAAATACAAGTCAGACGCCCCAACTCTCCCTCACAAATTACCAACATGTTCAGACAATGACAAGACCAAGAAAATTCCTTGCAGGCCTACTTGCTTAATGTACTCTTCACAGTTGTGGTACTTGCACAAAAATAATAAATCCACTCATACAGATGCTTCCATAAACCCTTGTACCTGGTCCCAACATTTTTCATTCCAAACCCTTCCCAACAATCCTCCAAGAAGCCAAAAGCGCCAATGGCTTCATGATTTCCTCCCTAGAGAAGAAAGTGTGTTAGGAGAGTAATTAATGAATTACTTCTCAACTGTTATAATACTTTTATAAAACATAACACTTCTTTAGTTGTTAGTAGTAGATGATCTGAACCTAGGATACCATACCATAGGTTACACAGATGACCTGGTAACAATCATAAAAGGGAACTTCAATAACAAATCTGTCAAATCAAATGCAAAATGCCCTGAATATTGTATAACAATAGGGGGCAAATTACACCCTAGCGAAACTCCTTGAACTAATCACAACAATTTTCCATGCTGAAGTCTATATGGCTGTGCAGAGGAGTTGAAATAAGAAAGGTGCAGAGATTTACACTCGGGCAGTCAGACAGCTATAAAGGCACTAAATGTGCTCTTAGCGCTAAACTAGTCTGGGAATGCCTAAATTGCCTAATGGCTCTAGGAAAACACAAGTTTACTTTAAAGTGGATTCCTGAGCGTGAAGGAAACGAACAGACTGACTAACTAGCCAATTCGCAAGGGTTTTTCATGAGTTATCTTTACAAATGAGGTGAGAATTGCCTCAAATTTTCAGATAGGAGTAAATTCATATGAAGACACTCAGGAGAAAGGTACCCATGCTGTAGGGTTCCTCAGGGCCAATTCCACGTGGGTCATTGATATACTGGGGTGGCATTTCCTTAGACGCCCTCACCGAACTGGTTGTTGTGCGAGGGAGATCTCTAACTTTACAGGGGTACTTGCAAGACATAATCGAAATACATATAGTGCCATTTGTCTCCCACATCAGTGAGAGATTCTTCCTAATGCAGGATAATGCCAGGCCCCGTAGTATTGTGGACGACTACCCGAATGAGTTTGGAATTGAATGTTTCGTATGGCCAGCTTGACGTCCAGATTTGAACCGAATTGAACACATTTGGGAACAACTTAACCGACTACTCTGAGCATGAATCCCAGGTCCTAAACTCCCTAGAAGAGTTGGAAATTGCTGTTCTAGACGAATGGGAAAAAAATTCAGGATTTTACCAGAAATATTTTGCAAGGAATGCAAAGGGGTTTAAATAGACATGATTCATTTCAGTGGTGGAAATAATCAGTACGAAAGGGGGCAAAAAAGTTTTATTTATTTTTATTTGCTTTTGAATTTTCTGTTTTTTGTTCTTTACTCAATTATTTTTTTAGAATTAGGTAATACGAATTCTCAAGTATTTTGTAAATAAAAATTTCTATTCTGTTTCATCGGTGCCTATGACTTTATTGGATGTCAGCCAACATCCCAAGGGAAGATATAAGTGTGACAGGGATAAGTGTCAACTTTAAGGGTACAGGAATTCTGAATAAAATGGTGTTTTTTGTTGTTCATTACTCAACAATTGTTTTTTAGAATTAAATAAAAAACATTTTCTTTTTAAAAATCTAATTTCTATAACCAAACTTATTTTTGGTATACAAAATATGAATAAACCTAAATATATTAAAATGTAAAGGTGGTGCGCTTTATCTACCTTTATCTATCAGTGTATTTGTCCCCTAACACAAAAATAACGAAATGAAATTAATAATGTATTTTGTAAATAAAAATTTCTGTTCAGTTTCATCGTTGCCCATGACTTTATTGAATGTCAGCCAACGTCCCAAAGGAAACGGATAAGTGTCGACTCTATGGGTACAGGAATTCTGAATAAAAAATTTTTTTTTCACGATTCATGCACAGACTAGTCGGTTAATTTGGTCCCAAATGTGTTCAATTCGGTTCAAATCTGGACGTCAAGCTGGCCTTACCAATATATTTTTTTTCTGGCTCTTTACTCAATAATTGTTGTTATTAGAAGTAGGTAAAAACATTTTTTTTTAAAATATCTAATACAAAAATAATGTCATGAAATTAATAATAATGTAATTAGCTGGAGGTAAGTTCTGTTAGACAGAAACTCTACTAAAACACTATATTAGTGGACAAATACACTGATAGATAAAGTTAATGCACCACCCTTAAATTTGAATATATACGTTTGTTGTTTATATTTGTTGGTTTATTCACATTTTACATACCAAAAATACATTAAATATATTTTGTAAATAAAAATTTCTATTCTATTTCATCGTTGCCCATGATTTTATTGAATGTCAGCCAACGCTCCAAAGGAAACGGATAAATGTCGACCCCATGGGTACAGTAATTCTGAATAAAATGCTTCTTTTGTTCTTTACTCAATTTTTTTTAGAATTAAATAAAAAAACAACTTCTTTTTAAATATCTAATTTTTACAACTACACTTATTTTTGGTATGTAAAATGTGAATAAACCAACAAATATAAACAACAAACAAATATATTCAAATTTAAGGGTGGTGCATTAACTTTATCTATCAGTGTATTTGTCCACTAATATAAAAATAATGTCATGAAATTAATAATAACTTAAACAGCTGGAGGCAAATAATGTTAGACTGTACTAAACCAGTGAATTTAATGTATTTTGTAAATAAAAATTTCTGTTCAGTTTCATCGTTGCCCATGACTTTATCGAATGTAAGCCAACTCCCCAAAGGAGACGGATAAGTGTCGACTCCATGGGTTCAAGAATTCTGAATAAAAATGCTAAATAGTATTATTTGTAAATCCATGTAGTCAGAACTAGTGTGAAATAGCTGCTGTTTGACATGTAAAAGCATGAAACATAAATAGGCATTAATAAACTTTCTAAAAAAACCTACAAGTCAGAGGTAAAACTGCAAGGTATAAATTTAAAAAAAAAAAAACATAAAACGTAAAAAGTGAAAAGGAGAAAGTAAATTATAGTAGGAATAAAAACAATAAAACGCTCATTGGTTTACCTGTCAGTTGAACAGCGCGAAGGGAAATGAAAACACCGTCGCAGTGAGGGAATGACGACGCAGTCTGTTCAAAGTCAAACGAACAACTTGCCTTCGTGATAAAGGTAATTAATTAATTATTTTATTTATGAGACTCCAAGCCAAATATCGCCAGTCAAAACATCGATTGTGATTGCAACACATCAAATAATCTGTGCAATCGGTATCAATTGTGATAGGCGATCAGAGAAAGTCGACCTCGGGCGATATTCGATTATCGAATTTAAAAAAAGCACCGTCACCGCTTTAAATGAGCTTTGTCGGAAGAAAAAAAATCATAAGAAATTAAATCTATTAAGGAAATAGACACATCACGATTGATTAGAAAATGTATACATGGAGTATACACTGATGGGACAAAATTAACTCACCATTCTTTAATTTTAATGTATTTTCATATTTAAATTCATAATTAAAAAAAGTATTTTATTCAGAATTCCTGTACCCATAGAGTCGACACTTATCCGTTTCCTTTGGGACGTTGGCTGACATTCAATAAAGTCATGGGCAACGATGAAACTGAACAGAAATTTTTATTTACAAAATACATTATTAATTTCATTTCATTGTTTTTGTGTTAGGGGACAAATACACCGATGGATAAAGTTAGCGCACCACCTTTAAATTTTAATATATTTAGGTTTATTCATATTTTACATACCAAAAATAAGTGTGGTTGTAAAAATTAAATATTTAAAAAGAAAATGGTTTTTTTTATTTAATTCTAAAAAAACAATTATTGAATAAAGAACAAAAAAAAATTTTATTCAGAATTCCTGTACCCATAGAGTCGACACTTATCCGTTTCTTTTGGGGCATTTCAATAAAGTCGAGGGCAATGATGAAACAGAACAGAAATTTTTATTTAAAAAATACATTAAATACAATGGTTTAGTAGAGTTTCTGTCAAACAGAATTTACCTCCAGCTAGTTAAGTTATAACTAATAGGCATACATTTCTCTTTAGCATCTATGTAATGACCCTGAAGCTGCCATAATTATTCAAATGCCTGACTGGACGCATTGAAAAATGTTTAACAAAAAATAACATCAAACAAAATCAACAAATGAAAAAATTTAACTGAAAGCGATCATCAGCCTACTGAGATTTAATCAGCACAAAAGTCACCTCATTCCGGTAGTGATCTACTATACGTGCTCTGTGGGGCCTGGCATTACCTTGTATTAGCAAGGATCTCTCACCAATGTAGGGGCCAAACTAAATAAGTAAATGTTCTTTGATTATGTAAGTATCTCTGTAAAGTTAGAGATTTCTAAGATAGGAGAATCATCTATGAAAAGTGGATGGAAATGACTTCTTTGGAGTTTGTCAGAAATTAAAAAAAAAAAAATCAGTCCTTTTTAAAACTCACTTGAAGCTAATAGCTAAAAAAAAANAATAAAGGCTATAGAAAAAATTAATTTGGATTGACTTAATTATTCAATATGTTGAATCTTCCCAGATTTTTTTCTTTTCAAGATTTCTACACAATATTGAATATACAAGGTATAATGATTTTGGAGTTGTCCAATAATTGTACACACTTCTGCTAAAAATGTAGTTTATTTACATAATGTTGAATATATTTACATCGATTGCACACAGGCATAGACACAAATGTCACTCCCCAGGTCAAAAAAATGATCCCAGTCAAATTGGACACAATGAGATCGATAGTAACTTACATCGATTATCGTTAACATAGGCCTTTGGTCCTCCGGGCTGGATCATCAGTGCAGTTGCGGATTCAAGTTCCAGACATTGAAGACTGTGAAGAGAGGAAATTAAGATTCACTGGTGAGGAGAAAAAACATATATTTCCTTTATTTTCACCAATATTACATATATTCCCTTAACCCATTGAGTTTCATAAACTTTCATAGAACACTAAGTACCGATTCAAAGTAGCAAATATGAATGCTTTAATAAAAAAGGGGAGCATTAAGTCGAAGCAAACTCAATTAAGTAATTACTTAAATAAAATGGAACCTTAGTTAGAATCGGACGATGGAGACAAAGAAGAAATGTTAATTGAATTAGGAAAAAAGGCTTGGTAAATTTGAAACGATCGGAGATGATTTTGACAACATTCAAACTTAGATAGAAATGCTAGAGGAAAACACATCCAATCAACTTGAAAATAGAGAAAACATTCAGTTTAAATTGATCACAAAAGGTAATAAAATCATAAGTACATATAAATCAGTAGATATGAGAAATGATCTGGGTGTTAGATTAAATTGTGAAGAAAATGACTGCCTCAGATAAATTTAACAAAATTTGCTATTACTGCAATTATTGTTATGATTGCAAAAATAGAATTAGTGGTGTGTGCAAAAGTTTCACTACAAGGGCTGAAAAAAGCTGGATTGAGGGGTGTAGTGTCCTTGGAGCTTTACCTAGATGTAGTGGGGGGGCTCGCCACCCCCTCTTTTCCAACCCCCTTGTGAAGTCCGCCACCCCCGATCGGTGCAGTAGGCCAAAGGCCACAGAGTTAAACCGTGTTCTGTCTGAATTAAAAATGCCAAGAAGGATTGTATAATTTTTTAAATTAAATTAAATTCCGGCTTGTGTCGGTCGATCCTTTTCTTTCTGTATGTAGAGAAGTTCGATTGTTTCGAAAGAAAGTTAGGTCAGAAAAAGAAGCTTTTTTTAACTCAAACTTCTGCCGTCGGTTAATTTTGTACACATTCACAATTACCAATTAAAATCTTGAAAGTTGACAATTAAAATAATTTGTATTAAATGGAGGATGGCCGCGGCGGCCGGTGGAAGTTATCCGGTGACGTGCACGGCAGGGGGTGAAGGGATCCAGGATCCCCGGTCCTGAAGGAGTGCGTCGGTGCGCGCTCAACCGATCAATATCGAAAATTTGAATTTTGCGAGGAGCGCGCCAGTAAGCTACAGACCTTCGTAGAGTGGCTATGGCTGTACGTCTACCCTTGCAAACATGAAGAATACGATCTTTTCACTATTTTTTCTACGTATTCTGTCATCAGGTACGAGAACACCAATCTGTAGATGACCCTGTAGCCACTTATCCTAGTTCTTTTTTTTAAGTTTTTTTTTAATAGCTTTTTAGAAAAACCAAACACTAAGAAGGTCACCCTGAGAACACGTGTACAGCTTAGTTGTAGCCTAAGTAAATAAATTTTCCAGGATATATATTTTTTTTTCAAAATAAATGTTTACAGCTTGGACAATTTTGCGAAAATTCTTCAGCCTTGAGTCAACAGACCATTTGTCTCTTTAACCTAATACTCTCCCTTTAAAAAAATCAGAATGGAAGATGTACGCAGATTGTTGTTTTATAGCTAGCTATTAATGGTCTTGTTGAAAGAAAATGGGTGTGGCAAGTTCTTCAGATGGAGTGGCTTTGTACCGAACTCTATGGTTACCACGTGGAGAAACAGAGCCCCCATGACCTCGAAAATCCTTCAACGTTATCGATCAACCTCTAGGATTAAATCATCAAGTGTCGCAAACCCCTGTTGATCCAGTTCGAATAATTATTGTACATTAAAGATTCAAACCTTTTGATCCTTTGGAGCACTTCACTTATCTGCAAAATTTTGAGAGAGAGAAATGCTTGTAAATAGAAAGAATGCTTTTCATGTCGGCCTGGGCATTCTTTGCTTAAAGTTTGATTCAAAGGGTCCCAGTCAGGACATTATTTTCTATTGGCATCACCCTTGTTTTTATACAGAATTTGTACGGGTACTGCTTGGTGAGTTTAGTGGGTTGAAGACCGTCACATCTTGTTTACTGTGTCCAGTGTCCCTTGTAGACCTTTTAGTAATGTCCAGGAAGCCAATTTTTTACCCAACTAAGATTTTGGTCTGGTTTGTAAATAGTTTTCTGTTACGCATGTTCTTCTTCCTCAAGGAGACAAGATTGTAAATATACGACTTTCAGACAGTGCCCTGCCAGTAGGACTGTTGACTAGGATTGTTTCTACTCACAAGGGGATGTGGGATCACAGATTTTTAATGAAACATTTTTAGGTGGTACTTGGTTTAAAATTATTAGACACATGTCCGATCATTTTGATAATCCTAGGAGCCGAGAAAATACTATTTTAAATAGGGTTTGTCCATATACCTGAAGGTTTTTATATATATCGAGTGGTTTTTTTGGTTTTTTAACCCAGGGAAATAGTATTCAGGACCGTATTAAATGAGGTTAGATAGATAAAAGATTACAAAAACAAAAAGAAGCTTTCATTAAAGTAGACCGAAAAATTTTATTTATGGGGAAAAAATCGATTCATTTTAAGCACTCTTTAAACCGCTTTTTGGCCGAATCAGCCAGCCAGGGAAAATTTATTTCTCGCCGATATCCTTTGTTCAACATCAAAATTCGTAAATCTTATGGATTTTACCAGAATCTAACGACCATTGAAAAATTGAATTTTTCTTGTTTAAGCCTTACTTTGGATTTTATGTCAGTATATTTGAGAAATATAAGGATCAATTCAATAAAAACTTCCAAAACGTTTTATTTTATATATCTATCTGGCTTTGATCAGTTAAGGCAAGTTTCCTGTGTATCAGTGGAGTCGTTTCTTAGTTTAGTTTATCACTATTATTGTGATTTTCGAAAAAAAAATCTGAGGCGAAATTCACAAAAATTTATATTCAGGACCTTTTCAGGCTATAAAAAAATATTTTAATCTACTTTACCACGTCGCTCGGTCATAAATTATGTACATATTTATTGTCAAATAAAAATTTGACATAGTGACCGAGCAGAGTAGGTACAAAAAATATATATTTTTAAATCCATTCGGATTCGTTTCAAGCACCTTTTAAAGCCTTTAAATATGAAGTTTTATTGGAAAAAAATATATAAATTTTGGCGCTTGATTAGCTGGGGACGATTTTTTTCTCCATTATCTGACGTTCTGTTTAAAAGTTCACAACTCGTCTGGATTTTTCCCAAAACCAACGTTATTATTATATTAAAAAAGGAAAGCTGGATCTTTCTTGTTTCATCATAAGTAAATAAAATTTAGGTTTTGTGTCATTAGAAATAAATAAATTTCAAATCAGCAAAACCTCCTCAGTGTTTAAATTTTATTTCTACAGTTGTAATTTATTTACAGAGGCTTGGCTTGTGCCATTACTGTGGTTTATGCGGTTCTAAACCCGTGTAAAATGTCATGTGGATCTGGGGAAGCAGTTGTAAGTTATGATCATTTTTGTGATTTTTGAAAAAAAAATCCGAGGCAATTCCCCAACTGTTTGTTTTACACCTCTGACTTTGATTTATTTAAGGAGGCCAGATTTATTCCGTTATGTGTAGTTTATAATGTTCTCAAATCTATAAATTTTCCGGTGAATCGGTGGTCGTTTCATAGTTCATTACCATTTCTGTGATTTGCGAACAAAAGTCCGGGCAACATGCAAAGCAAAATTTTGAGAATTTTTTTTTACTTTCTCAAGAATATGTATTCAGGGGTTTTTTGATGTGGAGAAAACGAATAACAAGTTTTTTTTTGTCAAAAAATATTTTAACCTAACTTGTTTGTTCACTAGTTCACGCCAAAATTTTATTTGCCAATCTCATAAATATCTTACATATCGAAATACATAATTGATGACCGAGCGACCTAGCAAATTACGCTAAAATATTTTTTAACCGAGAAACAAGGTTGATATTCGTTTTTTGCAATCAAGAAACCCTCCAATTACAAATTATTACAAAAATTAAAAAAATACTTATTTCCGATCACAAATTTTGTGCCTTCCCCGATGTCTGATAATTTTTTGTTTTTATAATCACCAAAATATTGGTAATATTGAAACGACCTCGACCGATTTACAAGAAACTTTACGCGCGTTTACAACTTAATAAACTACGCGTTATGGACAAAATTACTGCGTCGAATGAGATTAAAACCAGTCTGATCAGCCGAAAATTTCATTTTTGGCGATTTTTCGAAATTAGGAGGTGAAGGGGTACACAAAATTCACAATTTCTGACATTTTTATCGAAAAATTCACAACTTCGGTTAGCCGTTCAGATTTTTCATACATTATTTCATTCAGTAGGGGGAACCCATCAGAAAACAGTTCAAGTTGTGAATTTTCGATAAAAATGTCAGAAATGGTGAATTTTGTGTACCCCTTCATCTCCTAACTTCGAAAAAATTTGCAAAAATGAAATTTTCTGTCGATGAGACTGGTTTTAATTTCATTCGACGCAGAAATTAATCCTCTACAGATGTTGTTTCGAGCTGTTTTACGCTCAGGCTAACGGTTTAATAACAATGTCACGAAGAAGGTCAAAAAACGTGGTTTTTCATGGTTTTTGCCTGTAGCTCGGAACTGAAGGGTTTGCGGACCCAGGTTCATAGGACCTTTTTTACTCAGCGTTCAATTTCCTATAAGATCTGTAAGTGTGGCTGAATCGATTGGGACCACCCTGTATACATTCGAGGGATGTGCACACTTCTTTTGTATTTTCAGTTAATATTTCGCAGTGTGGTATCGTTTTCTATCATTTTTTTGTTGGTATCAAATGGGCCCAGTTATACAAATTACAATTTCTCCCAGTTATACAATTTCTCTATACATCCTGCTTTTAAGTGGGGTTCTGCAGGAGGCAAACCCGAAGGTGTCGTTCATTGTAAATATTCAATGGGATACTGTAAACTTAAGTTTTCATTGCCTGCTTTGTCACCAGTGACTCAGCATGATCTATGGAAACACTTAACAATTTCCCCTGGTAGTAGGGGTTTCACTAGTTTCACAATAAGATGATTGATTTTTTTTCACTAGATTATTTCTAGCTGCTAATATAGCTCTATTGCTCATTTCTTCCTCAGATAAATCTAATGGATATAACTTTTCAATTCAATTATCCGAAACATTTCCTGGCGTATTTTAATTTTTTTCTCGACATCTAATAGCAAATCTGAGAATTCAATTGAATCCCCGTCCGCACGCATATTCTTGGCCAATTTGAATTGTTGAATACAAACTATTTTTTTAAGAATTCTTCATAAATTTGTCCTTTTTTGGGGGGGCTGGTAAATTCTGTCGAGTCACCACCCAGTATGATGTTCCCAGCAAATGTGCGATCTCCATTAAAATATCTCTAAATGTACCAACGATAGTGACTAATGCAGTTTGGCGAATAATCGACGCATTACCCCAGATGAAAATGTCGTTTTATGTCTTGTCCTTCTATATGGGAGAAAATTTCAACTTTTTTTGCCCAAATGTCTGCAGAAATGAATCAGGCATTTGTATAAAAATGTCTTACCGTTGTTACCTCCAGGTCCGTTTTATTCAGTTCAGAGTAAGCTAACGTACTCTCTCCGGTGCGCAGAAACGAACTTTTTAACCTTCGTTGGGAAAGAAGTCTCCCTTCCAACCAGCATGATACAACAATTAAGACACAACGACGACGTTCTTGATGTTATCCGTTACATTGTAAACAAAAACAACATCGAAATATAATTAATTAAGGTTTTGGTTGAGATAAAAAAAGTCAGTGTCACGAGCGGGATTCGAACCCACGACCTTCGGCTAAATACGCCGCTGCTTGAGCTATCGTGACTTCGATCCACTCGGACACTAACTTCCCATCTAAACCCCACCTTTTTGAATTTTCCCTACTATTTGTCTTTTTTTATGTCAATCAAAACCTTAATTAACTGAAAAGAATTTATTTGGTCAAGCGGACCACGAAACCTAATAAATTGAAATATGAGTAGACTACCTATACTAGACTCTAAGTTAGTTCCTGGATACCCCTGAGATGGGGTTGGGTGCCGCTGCGTCGGGGGTGCCAGATGCTTTCCTCGAGTATCAACATAGATGATTGGCCGATGCTGACGGGCAAAGCCAAAAAAAATTCCTTTCCCTCTGTAAATGTAATACGATTTTGTCCAGCATTTTGTTGTGTGACCGTCAAGTGCCACGCATTTTCCATTGCACTTACAGAACCATATACGATTGAACTTCTTCGCGCCTATCATCTTTACTAACGA